TAACAATGATATTTACATTTGCATCCTCTCTAAACTTGTTTTCTCAATTTTCAGCAACATTTATTAATGGAAGTATTATTTTAGAATTATTGTGACAAGTAAGGGCTTCCATTCTAAGGTTATAGTTAGCATTTTTTGCAAAGTTTGTCTTAAATCCAAACAATACGTTTTGTTCTTGTCTTCAGTCTCTTTTATGCAGTCAGTCAATCAATGTGGCTTCAGCTCTGCCTGTCCTGGAGCCCCTGCCAGAGGCTGACAATGTGGGCCTGGCCGTCCGCGTGCTCTGCAATACCCGGCTGGGCAGGTACGAGGAAGCCCTTGAGCAGCTCCTGCCGAGGTGTCCTGGTGCAGCCGTGCTCTACGCTCAGCACGAGCTCAAAGGTGACAAGCAGGTGTGCTACTTTCAGTAAAGCTGTTCACTGTCTTCTGGGTTTTTTCCTAACTAAAATGCTGTTGTGTACAGATGGACTCTGGATGGATCACAGCCCAGCTTTCACACAAAGTAAATGGCTTAGCTTGCATTGAACCTCTTGCTTGATGTTTTAATTTGTTAACTCAGTCCCCACTGATTTTAATGGAGTATTTTTTCCTCCAGTTTCTTCTGTCACTTACTGTATTCATTATAGTAAATTTAAAGCATAGTCTTTTCAGATAGCAGACTGTCTCAGAAAAGGGAGAGTAATATGGTTTTTTTCCACTGTAAATGAAAAATTACCTTGTTTCTCACTAATTGGTGTTCTAAATTGGCAGTGCTTACAGGTGAAATCTTACTGATAAGCTAACTGATAGGAGAACATGGTCCTTCAAAGAAAATCATACTTAAATGATGTTCTTCCTGTGTTGTAGTGACATCTTCTGACCTTATAACATCAGACTGGTACTGATGCACTAGTGGAACGATTATGTCTTTATGTCCCATTTTCCTGTTATCCCTCTATACAGTTTTAATGTTGGAATTGGTATTATTCCAGTGTTGCAGGAGTACAGGAGTTTACTTCCATTGCCAATTACAGCTGCTCAATTAATTGTACACAGCTTTACTGACCAGAGTCAGTAAAGGTGATCCTCTACTAGATGGATGTACTAGAACTCTGTTTAAAACCAGATCTGAACTTTTTATTCAGATCTGAAAGTAGTTTCTTTGATGGTTTCCACATTAGATTTGAATGTGAGGTTGCAGTACTGAATCTGAGTGCAGGTGAAAGAAAAGTTATCAAGTTCAAAGGAGGAAAAAAGTCCCTTCACTGCATTCTTATCAGCAAAACTGTACACAAAACCTTATTCACTGCTATAGCTGTTGGGAGTAGACAGATGAGGTCAGGAGACAGAGCAATGTTCTTATAGTAATGCTGTTTACCACTTTGCCTGGAGCTGTTTAGAGGGAAAAAAATAAATTCTCTGACTGCATCGGTCTTGCCAGTGACTTTTGCCTTCTAAACTTTTGTCTATAGAGGTATAAGGGGCACTGTGTGAAGATTTTTGAGCAGAAAAAGGTTGCACTTAAGATGGAAAAATACAATATGTGCAAAATCACTGCATTCCTGGCATTAAGTTCATCGTGACTGATCTGTATTTTTAGCAGCTCTTTCATACTCTTAATTGCAGTCCTTGTTGATGTACACTTTTGCTGTGGGTTTTTGTGGATTTAGGCTCTGTGGTGGAACAAGCTGCTTCCTGAACTTTGCAAGAGAACTAGACTTACTGGAAATGACTGCCCTGTTCTCATTTCAGCACTCAAAGGTAAATCCGTTGGTTGCAACTCAACTCCAGAAGCCTTTGTATGTCAGCTAACAGTCTTAATAACTGTTCAGACTAAGGACAACTGATGTGGTAACTTGGAAGAAAAGGGGACCTTTTTCTCCAGCTACAGCCAATACAGTTTAGCAGTCTTTCTGGTCATTAGCAAGAGACTGTGCAGTGTATGCACTGTACCCTCAGATAAAAATCACGGCATTCCTTTTGTATCGAAAACAGTTACTGGTTGTAATCATACTGTTTCTGTATGGATCAAGAATAGACACCAGTAAAAAAACTTACTAAATAGAGCTATTTGTGATTGTTTCTTGTTTTTTCTAGGCTAAGTGACTATATTGTTCTTAGGTAACGGGCTGTTATTGATAACACAGGGGAGGCTTAAGTATGTATTGATGATTAGGTCATAGACTGAAAAAAACACAGTGTGTTATTACTAGAAGTAGAGAAATCCACCTTAGTAGTTATGTAGTCCTATTGTTACATGTTTGTAGGAAGTTAATAATACTGTGTATAGCTGAGGGGCCAGTGTGTTTGTTTTGACAAATTAAGCATGTTGAATAAAGCACATACATTGTTAAAAGTATGCCAATGGAATGCCTGAGAAAAACATCATCAAGGGGTTGCATTGTGCTGCACAGGTTGCCGTGCTCTATCATAAAGTTCTAGTTTCTGGTGCCAGCAGTTTTTCTTTGGAATTTTTTTCATGCAATAACTGTCCTGTAATCGTTTAAGAACATATTAAACAGCTTGGTCTGAGAAGCTGCTTGCAAAACATCCAGTTTTACAGATAGTGCTGAGTTAGGGTACTAATAAGATTTCCAGGGCTTCCTTTGCATTTCATACAAAACATGTGAAGTACTAGATCAGACTTTCATTAGCATTAGTGCCATGTGTAGACCTGATGAGTCAAGATAGAGGTATGGTTTTAATTTAAGTCAGAATTTCAGTTTACTTTTGAGATTTTCTATATTTGTATTTGTATCCAAATGGGTATGTCTCAAATTTCATTCCACTTGCAATATTTAGATAATTTGATGACTTCAGTTCATAATTACATTGTTGATGACTTTGTTTCTTTGTTCTAAACTCAAAATACCTAAATGAGATTTTTCTCCCCTGCTCTGAGCAGAAACTTTATCAGTTGTTGCAATGGAATTGGAACTAAGGGATTTTGTCAGTCTTCTACCAGAGGATGGAACTGCAGCATTTTTCCTGCCACATGTTCTTCACTGCAGCCAGAGGAAGTTGCTGACCTAAAACAATGAAGTCTACTATCCACTCAAATACAAAGAATGTGCTGGAATAAAAAAGCAAATGAAACAAAGAAGCAAATGAAAGAAACAGCAGAGCTGCATAAAAGGTACTGTGGGACTACCCTCACATAAATCATCTTACTTCTTCATTGAAATCTTACATGAACTACTGAAGGACAACTGTCATCTGAGGTAAAGCAACTGTGTTGAAGCTAACCATGGCGACAAGGCAACTGGAAAATACTGTACAGTACAATTGGACATACAGTGCTCACTGAAAGTAAAGCAGGAAGTCAGTCTCAAATCTGTATTAGTTGGATCACTGACCTAGGGAGTTCAGGCTCAGGCATGTGTCTACCTGTATGAGTAAAAGTAAGTACCTTACTCTTCCAAGTAGAATTGGGCCCTACTGACTTCATTTTGCAATGCTGGAATTCATTCCCTTGAATTCCAGCTGGCAAAATCAGTCAGCTGCTCTGTCATCCTAAGGACATACCCACGCGAGTGTTACACTGAAAATGTTTTCATTTAGCAATTCACAAGAAAAGGCCATAAATCCAAGAGAAACAGAGGTGGAAGATAGAGACTACTGCTTGCTTGCTGGTTTTAGTTTTCTTTCTTCTGTTGTATTCAGTTAGTAGAAAAGTATTTGAAGTATCACTAGGCCATAAATCCAGCTGAAAACTCTTATTTCTTCTAGTGTTTTGCTAAGCATCTGGGGTACTTGTGCATGTATATACTGATGTTTGTCTCGTGAACAGAAAGCATACTTCTGTTCCTTCAGAGCTGGAATTCAGTCATAATAAACTGTCACAATGTTTATGACTTTCTTATGAATGTCGTTTGGGTTTTTTGAAAAATCTACCAAAAATACAATGATTCCCATGATCCCATAACCATATTAATCATCTAAAGACCTAATTAGCTGACACTGACTCTATTAAATCTGTTTTCACTGAAGTTGTAATGTTACTTAAACCTGTAGAAGTCAGGCAGAAGAGATCATCTGTATTTCAGCTAAAATACATTAACAAAAAAAAGATAAATTGAAGGTAGTTTAAGTTACCCACGTAGCATTCCTGCTACCACTAAAATCAATTATTAATTTACTGGTAGGTGTTACGCTGGTTTCAGTATAATCTTTCTACCTTAAAAAAAGGCCAAAACAATTTAGGTTTGTTACAGAGAAGCAACTTTGTTCTGATAGGTGTAAACCAAGATGTTTTGCTTTGCCTGCCCGTCCCATACATCCTTCCCTCTTGTTAGATAGAGGCCTAACGTGAGTGGAGCTGGGCTTTTGAAACAACTGGATGGCACGACCATATCTGCTCTTACTGCTTTTATTTTTGACCAGCATCACCAGTATCAAGCACTGATACTGCTGCTTCCATCTGCCAGGAAACACTTCCTTTTACCTTTGCCAAGGGCTGCACTACGTAACTAACAGCAAAGGGATTCCACTACAGGAGTTACTTCAGAGTTGTCAGAGCAAAGCTCTTTAGTATAGACATCAACAAATTTTGCCCTTCACAGTCTCATTTCATCAGGCTTATTGCAGCATAGTTTTGTCTGCCTTAGAATTATTTTCATAACAGAAAACATCTTGTGCAACATAACATCTTGTGCAACCATGATCCCTCAGTCATCACATCTTTTAAATGTACCAATCATCTTGAAAGGTGTTACTGGATAAAATTATAAAATAATTCAACAGAAATAACAGAACTATTTTGTTAACTGCTCAATTATACAATACTATATATATTTTCAGTGTCAACTTATGAATAAAGTGATAACCAAATTCCTGTTTTCCAAGTAATAACAACTACCATATCTGTCTAGTAAAATGTGACAGTGTGATGGCAGATATGCAAAACAAATTTTGCTGTTACACAGGGTTATTTTCAAACTTTAAAAAAAGGTACATTTCATTAGGCCCTTCCATGTTCCTCAGCTGTTAAATAACACGCATTAGGCACCAGCCAGAATATGTTTAGCTTGCAAGATACAACTTTTATTTAGAGAAAAATACATTTATGAGCTGTCATATCCATTCAGCTGTCTTAGTCTATGGCCCTTTTGGTACCTGTGGCCACTACATGAAATTTTCCAAAACACACGTGGAGATGAGTTGATCAGAAGAGAATATTTTCCAAGAATGTTCACTAAAGATAGACCTTGGAGAACCACTGTGTTAAAATGCTTTCATCATTCTTGTGTGCCTGCCATGCCTTTACTCTTGAACTGATTGAATAATCTTGGGAACAAAGACCGTTTATCTGTAAGGGGGAAAATAGCTTTTTTTACACGCATTTCATCAAAAGAACAGTCTGTGCATGTGGCCAGCAGAGTCCAAAATGAGCACAGTGGATCCCCGTACCTTCTGGACATTGTGAGTTAGATTTAAAAACAGCTTTAAGATGCACTGAAGGGTACATTTTGATGCTCTTTAGATGGCTAATAATGAAAAATCCAACCTACTGCTGCTACAAGTTAAAGTCTCTTTCTGCATCTCTTTCTGTGTACTCTCAAATCAGCCTTCTTATTGTCTGTGCAGGTTTGGCACAATGTACTCTGTAAATCAGTAGGGTTTATAAAATAGAACTAGATTGTGGTTTACATGCCAGTGGTTTATAAAATAGATTCTGTTTAACATTCCAGTCTGTATTTTTAGTACAGATACAAATAAACATCATATAGTTATATGCATATATATATATGCATATACATACACATATTTTTAAATATTCCTATTATTCTCTTTCTGTTAATTACAAGGAATACCTGTTATGCTCTGTCTTTTGAGTACTGGAAAGAGTTGCTTTTAAAGTTGTATTAACTTTGTAGAAACAAGAGCTTTCAAAATTCCTCAAGATTCAAGATTTTTTACAGGTAATATTGCTAGAGCAAGGTAATAGTGTCTGTAAAGCTAAAACATGTTCTTGAGAAAGAAAACGCTGTTTTAATTTTTCAGTACTTCAGCTGTGTAGGAATGATGAATTCAGCTTTATTTACCAACTGTTCTTATTGTTTTAAATAAAGATTGAGATGGAGTCTGACACTACTGGCAATTCTTGGGGACAGAAATACTGTCTCATGAAGAATTCTTTTTAAATAAAAATCTGTCACTTTACATGGATGGGAAGCTGAAGCAATAGCCAGTTAACATCCAGTCCTTTAGTTACTTTGGTCTCCTGAGCAGCCTTGAGGGAAGTATGACCAAGTGACTTCTAGACATGGAATATCTCTGGATGTCTGCACTGGTTCTGAGTACACTGGAGTGTCTGTGAGCCCCAGTGTGCACCTTTAAACATAATGACCATGACTGAGCTCGAGAGCTCTTACCTTCCTTTGGGAGCACAGTGTAGGTTGCTTCCATGCCTGCGTGGATGTGGTCAGTAACGTGACAGTGTAACAGCCAGGTTCCAGGGTTCTGTGGAGTCATTTCCACAGTTTGAAATGTCCCAGGGAACAGGTCAAAGACATCTGCCTGGTAAATCCCTGTTTGCTTCAGGACAAACACAAGCAACAGTTAAATGGTGGCATTACCAGGTGGCAGTAATTTAAGCTTTATCCATTTACTCACCAAACATTTCAATCACAGTTGAATGAAAAGACACCTGTGTCATTTCTACTGAAGCATCACTTTTGTACATCCATTTCATGCTCCAAAGTTTAATAATCTATCAGCTAAATGAAAATGAAGGACAACGACAGCTTTTGTCTTGCAACAGTCACGAGACGTTCACAGCTGACATGTTAAAGCAACTTGTGAGGTTACCAGTCAGGAAATGCTACTGGCAGATATTCTCTGGCTCATGTATGTTGATCAAATAAAGGTTTGGGGCATAAAAACCTTACAGTCAAATTACAAGCCCTGCTTAATATTGTAACGTGACTTTTCACGATAGATTACAGTCCTTGGTAACTGACCTACCTCTCGTTCTTAACACAGCAAGAAATAAATGAAAGGGACTTGATACCTTGTAGTCAAAGCTGTGGCCATGGAAGTGTGCTGTGTGAATGTCTATCTCAGTGCCCATTCCCACCAGATACCAGCTGACTTTATCTCCAACATGCATAGTCAGGCCATGCAGATTTCCAAACACCTTTCCATTAATGGCTAAAAAGAAGGAAAGAACAAGACAGAGAAAATAAATGGTGTGCATTGTTGATCTCTAAACTTTCATATACAAGATTTGAAAGCAAGTGCCAGACAAAAGTAATGGCTTTGGACAGCACATTATAAACATGTGTGTTTATATTCCATATTTAACTAGAAAGAATAAGATGGTAAATAAAATTTCTTTGCTGTACACCATTGGTAATTTTGCAGTTCTTAAAGATCTGTAATTCCCACAGCTCTTTCTAAGGGGTAAGCTTTACCAGGACATGCTTTCAGGATGCACATAGCCTTTCCAGCTTATTCAGAACAGTTGTTTGCTGACACCAAAACACTTCAACATGGGAATATCTGGAGGGGAGGGGGAATTTGTTTGGGTTTTTTTTCTTTAATCTGTGGGCAAAAAAGTCATTCGGTGGCATTAACAGTGTTTTCAGTCTGAGTAAAAATTTTCAGGCCTTCTGCACTGGAACAGTAAATTCGGGGGCAGTGAGGAAGTCAAATTTATGTGAAGTACTTTCAAATATATAATTTTATGGAGTTCCCAGAGTTATATTAACTAAATTGGGAAACATACCATGCATTTTATTACTTTCAAGGAAGTCCTCATCCTCTTTGTCAACAAGATGTGGGTTGGCAGAATAGGTTTTAATGTTTTCATCCAAGTACCATGATTCATTTTCATCGAAAACCATAAAAAGAAGAGCAAATTGAACTTTCTTTTTAGTATGAAATGATGGCAGATAATGTCTATGACACACAACAAGTGTGCCTATTAATCCGCTGTAAGTGTCCTGAAATGACAAATGAAAAACCACATAATTGCAAGATTTAACTAAGCAGAAGCACATTTAATGACAGACCTGAATCCTCTTACTATCTTTACAGCTGTCAGTAGCTGAGAATAAAGGCAGCCATTGTCAGGCAAACAAGGCTATTTCTCAGCTGTTACATGCTACCCATGGATCAACCTCAGTGAAGACTAACTGCCTCATTTTCACCTCCTGCTAGAAATAAGCATTCATTCCATATTAATTTCTTGCTCTTTTTTTTTGCCAAAGTATTTTTATAATTTTATCATTTTGAGCTTGGTTTACATTCAAAATATACTTCTCGACATTTTATTTGTATTTGTTGAGACATGAAGGCAAGAGTACGTTCATTTCCACTAGAAGTTATTAGCCGTTAAGTTAATGCGTGCTTGGTAAGAAATGGCAGAGTTGTGTTTCTCAGCTGCATGTCAGCTTTCCCCCACATGATTGATTAGATACTGAGCAAGCTATAAAGTGCTAGCTTCAACAAGGAAATCTGAGTGAGGTGATTATACCAGCAGCAGAAAAACTAGAAAGCAAGAACATGGAGGGCCATGACTCAAATTATGCCCTGACTTTCCTGCAACTTGACTTCAAGAAACATTTAAATTCAAAGGTATGGTAACGGGGGAAATAACCTGACAGAGAAAGCAGAAAGAATTTTGAATTCCCTTTTTCTATAAGTATATCCATGTTGGAGTCATGAACAAAACCTTTTAGACTGATATTAATTATATACCTTAATGATGTCCACTGTTGAATGGTATGCCCATGCAATGCAATGTGGATCTCCTCTCTCAGGACTAGATCTCTCTGGGATTTTCCAGACATAGATTTTTGTTTCACCTGAATTAAATAAGTATCAATGAATTTTAGAAATTTTCAGTATGCTGACCTATAGGAGGTCATTTTGAAACAGTTGTTATCTCCATTTACAGCTTATATATGTCTTGAACTTCCCAATTACTGCACTGGCTAACTTCTGCAGACCCCTGATTCTTCTTGACAGTGTTTGGGTTTTTTTGTCTGTCTTCCCTGTTCAGTTTACCATATTAATAAAGACAACTGTATCTTTTGTAAAGATCACAGAGGAACTTCAGAAATAATAGCATAAGCTATGCTTTCCCTACATAACCAAATCTGTTTGCTTTCATGAAAGGTGCAGCCACGTTGTGTCAAAAAATTACTGATCAGTCAAGGACTAGGATACATAGCCGTAGTTAGCAGGGCCATTTGAACTGCAGAAATATTTGTCATAATCGACATCAAAAATTTAAGAACCTGAGGTAAAACATACAAACAAAAACTATGTCTTTCCTACTATCTGAAATAAACCTTACTAGAAGTCTTGATGTTACCTGCTAGAAATAAGGAAGGATGGTTTGATACCTGGGTTAGTTACAGCAATAGCAGAACTGTCTGTTTTCACTCCGTGGGCGTGGATAGAATAAGGTCTTGATGCTAAGTTCTTAAAAACTATTATAATTTTATCTCCGATATTCGACATAAGCAGTGGCCCTGTTGGATTGAAAAGAAAAGATGAACTTGGTTTTACAAGAGATCAGAGCAAACAGTTTGTTGTGTTCAAATTCATACTATTGGCTTATAAGTCAACAGAAAACTTTATACAGATAGTGTTGTTCACTATGACTTGCCAGTCTGAGATGCTGAAGTTAAGCCTCTAGGTCTCAAAAGTTCTGAGCACCTACTGTGTACCTGAAGTCAGTTTGGATGTTGCTACCCAGCTTTATGCTGGAAATACTGACCTCTGATCAGGCAGCAAACCAGAAGGGTTTTTAACTTCTACAGCAAGCAATGCAATCTTGCAGGGAAAACACCATAATAAAAGTAGGAATTCCATGTAGGGTTTCCACATAGGTTTAGGCACTTTGTGTGGGTAGAACTATACTCAACATTATTCAAATAGTATCTTTTGGCTTGTGTCACTGCATTTTTCACATTTTCAAAACTGAACTTTATGATGACTCTACCTTGAATTTCCAGGTGCTGCTGCTCCTCTGCTCTGTTTTTGGGAGTACTGAATGTCTGATCAGTGTATTCGCGATATACAACCTTTTTGTATTTTGAGCCAATGAATTTGTCATTTTTATTTAAAAATGGATTGCCAGGGCTGCCAAAAGAAAAAAAAACAAAACATTTCCTCATGTATTTTAAAACATCTTTTGCAGTTATGTCAATTAACTATCAAACAAGAGTCCAGCTCAGCGAAACAGTAATCTCATAAACTTTTGGTATCTTCAACATGAAAACATTCTCATTAAGCTGGAAGGTTTCTCTTTGAAAGGTTAAAAAACTCACTATAATTACACCAAGTCTATATAGTACTTGAAAGAATGCTGAGCACTTGGCCTGGCAGATATTTCAAATTGCAGGAAGTCACACAGCAACTTGTATACTGAAAAACAGAGCCCTCAGTGACTTCTGTAATCTGAAAAGAAGCCTAAAACTTGTAAAGCTTAAGTGCCTTGATGAAATTAAATGTGAGGGACTGATTCTCTCCTGACATCATGGGGGCTGGAGACAGTGGGGGAAAAAACGTCTGATAACAGCATAGTCCATATTACTTGTGCTTAGTACTATGTCAGAGTCCACTGTGGTATGCAGGGCAAGGAAATGTGCTATCAAGCTGAGGAAAAAGAAGAAAATACAATTAAGTTAATGACAAAATACAGACTATTACAATCTGCTACTTTAACCTCAACTGAAGTTATTCAGGTGAAACACAGAAAATCATCAGTTCTTGTTTAGCCTCTTCTGCTAATTGGCATGAATTGTTTGATCCAATCAGTTCTCTCTCGTTGAGACTCAAATACTGGAAACAAAACACCAGACAACAAGCTTCACAGTGAGTGGATTAGGTCATGTCGTATCCTGTGCAATCTCATGAAATTGAGAGGAGTAAAAAAGAACCTTACTCAGACTACAAATAAACATGAGACAAAGACTTGTTACAGATTGTAAGTAATCAATTATCAGGACAAAGCAGTCATCGTAGCTGCAATGACGATGAACGTTTTAAGCTTTCCACATCAAGGACTACCAACATCAGTAAATAATAAATGCACATGCACTATCCAGAAATCATGAAAATATACACTTGTCCCACAGAAGGTCTATGCTGGACTACTTCTTGAACATCGTGCTGTCTGGCTCATAGTTACATGGCAATAGTACAGGGGAAGGACCACAAATTCAAGTGAGCCCTAAAAATATAAATGAAAATAAAGCATGTCTAGAAATGTCTGGAGGAGGAAAAGGTTCAGAGGAGAAGTGAGTTGCTGTTTTGCTTGTTTTGCATTTTTTCCCCTGTGTATATTCCAAAGTACCTTTCCTCATGGTGTTGATGCCGTTCATATTCCCATGTCCTGTCGGGAGAATAGTCCCATTCAACTTCCACTGCAGCAATGTAGTAAGTCTTTTCATGCAAATACAGAGATGGATCTACATTCCACCAGTGGCATTGTTTCACTTTGTAGTTCTGTTTCATGCCCCCAGTGTAGTGGTCTGTTGTCAGGCAGGACACTTCAAAAATTCCTAGAGGTCATACAAGAAATAAAGACTTGAGGACAAAAGTCTGTTACCTTAAGATTGTATTACCAATATTGATGTAGCGTTTAAAGACTGACACACAGGCTACTGCTCATATAAGGTACAAACTCTTTGTGCAGTATGGCTACTTGTAATAAAATTCAGCACACAGAGAAGTTGGAAAAATCAAGGCTTTAGCTTTAAGAACACGTCTTTACAATTTGCTGCCTTTCAAACACACCTGTGCACAGTTTTAGCACCAGGATCAAAATACCAGCTATTTAAGGCTTGTCTCTAAGCATAAAACGTTCATTGGTAACAGTTTCTGCATTACTAACAGGACTTTTAAACAAGACATTTACCTTCAGAATCAGGGTTCATAATAGCTGTAAGAACTGTATGTGGAAACAGATTTGCTGTATCCCTTCTTGTTCCTTTAGTTACAAATGTGTTTTCTGAGAAGTATATCCCATGGACATCAACTTCTGAACCCAAGCCCATCAAATGCCAAGAAACCACACTTCCTTTACACATCTCAAGACCAGGCTGATTTCCATACATATAACCATTAATGGCTGTAGAAGATTTGAGAAAGCAAAACCCACCTTTATTAATATATGATTTAATTCTGCAATACAGATTAATTAATAAACACTTCAGATGTAATGTGATGCCTTAGACTGACGGAAATATCAATAATAAAATACTTCATCACATCAACAAAACTAGGAAATTGACTCAAGCAAAACAACTTTTAAACCCCATTATTGAAAAATAATTTCTAACTGTTCTCCTTTTCAATGTCTAAAGCACAGGTTGCTGCCTTAACCAACTGGAATTTCCTCTGCTTTATTCCTGTCAAGTATTCAGGATGCATAAAGCATCCCATTTTATACCCTGTGTCTCCCTCCAGCCATATAGTGGAGGCAATCTGAAGGGTTTTTGAGTTACTAACCCTTTCTAGCTACTTCTGTGCAAAACTTTCAAATCCTGGGCCTCACAGGTAGCACTGAATGCTCAGCACCAATGGTCTGTAAATAGTGGCAATGCCCCGAGAGCAAAATTTAAGAAAGCACTCACGTAAATGTGCTTAAAGAGTAGGACTTATTGGCAGGGCTGGGCCCTGAAGGTAAAAATGTTTTTTTAACAGGAAACTTTAAAAATATTTCTGCAGTACCAAAATACAATCAGTGTGAAACTCAGCTCTGCTCTATTAAAGAAGCAAAGACTTTCATTCTGAAGCAAAGTCCGGCAGGCAGGTCGAGGGAGGGGATCCCTCCCCTCTGCTCAGCTCTGCTGAGGCCACCCCTGCAGGACTGTGCTGAGTTCTGGGCTCCCGGGTACAGAAGACACAAACATACTGGAGGGCAGTAAAGGGCCACAGGACAACAAAGGGACAAGAAAGCATCTCTCCTACGAGGAAAGGCTGAGAGAGCTCAGATCATCTAGCCTGGAAAAGCAGCAGCTCAGGGGATCTCATCCACCTGTACAAACACCTGCAGGGAGGATGCCAAGAGGACAGAGCCAGGCTCTTCCCAGCAGTGCCCAGGGACAGGGCCAGAGGCCATGGGCACCAAGTGACACACAGGAGGGTCCCTCCAAACATCAGGAAACACTGTCACTGTGAGGGTGACCGAGCACTGGCACAGGCTGCCCAGGGAGATGGTGGAGTCTCCATCCTTGAAGGTATTGAGAAACCAATCAGGATGTGGTCCTGGGCAAGCAGCTCTGGGTGGCCAAGCTTGAGCATGGCGTTGGACCAGGTGACCTCCAGAGGTCCCTTTCAACCTCAACTCTTCTGTGATCCTGTGAAAAACCTCCTTTCAGTTACATCATCTGTAAGGCTACAGATGATGTAACTCTTGGTGCCTGGTTGCATTCATAGGGGTTGCACATGGGCTGAAGACCTAACTTCTCCTCCTGTCTGCTCAAAGTGATACATAACCATGTAAATCCTAAACTGCCATGAAAGACACTGAACAGCTGGCATTGTACTTTGAACTACCACATTTAGTTGAAATTGAATCACAATGAAATGTTTTGGGTTTTTTTTCCACTGGAAAGGAATTAAATATATCTGCCACTATACACTTTTTTAGCCTCCAACATGAAATCATAAAAGTAAAACCTTATTGTAGAAATTATTTTTGGCTAACTAATAATTTTCTTACAGTGCATTTTGTTAGATTCTTGGAAATCTTCATCATCTTTGTCAGTTTTATCAGGATTTAATGTAAACATCAAAATATTGTCATCCAAGTACCAGCTCAGATTCTCATCAAATACTGTGGCAAGTAGAAAAAACTCCACGTTCACATTTTTCTGTTAAGAAGAAATAGCACAAAGGAAAATAGAAATGAGTGAACAGAAAATGTCAGGAAACAAAAAAATCTCTGCTTATAATAATTTATAAGTCACAAAGTAGGGTAGATGCATACATTGATACTTCATTCTGATCATCTCAAAGCTCTGTAATTGCTGTATCTTGTGAGTATTTGCTGCTAATGCTCTTTTTACCAGCAGGAACCACCTCTGGAAATGAATTTGTCTTTAAAATCTCTATATTTTCTTAGACATTCTCATCCTAGCTGAGACTCGAATGCCAGTGGCTGCTTACAACAATAGTGTTTTCATAATGAAGTGACTATCTGGAGCCAGACTGAAAACCAAACCCACTTTCTTCACATTTTGATTTCCCCTTAGCACATGGGTGAGACTGAGACATGGAGGGGAGGTGGTGCAATTCAGGAGGAGAAAGTGGATAGAGCTGTGATGATGCAAATGCTTCCATTTTTCTACTTTGACTGACCTGTTTCCCAGAAGAAAGAAGAGCTCCTTTCCTGCACACCAGGAGAGGACCCACAAGGCCAGAACTGGTGTCTCTGACTGCATCCACAGCTGAGTAATAAAGCCAGGTTAAACAGTCTGGGTCTTGGTCTGTGGGACCCACATCTTCTGGCACATTCCACTCATACGTAAACGTAGCACCAGGACTCACGTGAGAGGCTGGAGATTCGGTACCTATCACAGAAATCACCACTGGGAATTATGTCAAGTGAACATTATTTTATCCCCTTTAACACATGGAGAGGTGAGACAGCACATGCTAAGGTGCTGCAGCCCTCCCCCCGGCCCGTGGCACACCTCTGGGCAGGGGGCCATAGCGTGTCCCTGCCATGCTCCGGCCGTAACTCACTCCGTGGGCCTGGATGCTGAACGGGCGGCTGGCGTTGTTCCGGAAGGTCACCCTGATGCGCTCGCCCACTTCAGCCTTGATAACAGGTCCTGGAAAAGAGCACACGGTCTAATTACAGGACATTTCTATCAAGTGGTGCACAGGTCACCACGAACTTAGTGGCAATCAGTGGCTGGTTGCTTTTCCCCTCGCAGGGGGATGCCCCAGGCCTCTGTGGCACAGACGAGGTCCCTGGCGCGTGGCCTGAATCATGTGGTAGCCCGGCAGCAGCCATTCACAGTTCACGTGGAGGCCCAGAGACTTTCAGGACAGTTCCTCCCTTTGGAAAGGGATTTACAGACATTAGCGCCAACATCTGCCAGAAGCAGGCAGGTTAGCAATAGGACTAGACCTGCCTAGCCTGGTCTTGTAGTTCAGAACCCGACTTTTGCAGACCATGGCATTTTTTTTGCAGCTCCCATAGGGAAGCTGGGCACCACCACAGCATTGCCTCCAAGAGCTTCCTTATACCCTGGGGTGTCTCTTGGGGGAAGCCACAGGCACCAGCATCTGCAAGAGGCAGGGAGAGCTTAGGACCCCTCCTTGGAGGTGGGGGCACTGCTTGCTAACTAGTGGAAGTGACTGTTTACTCTCATAAATCTTTGACATGAAAAAATTTTAGACTATCTTACCTAAGAGTCCAAGATGTGCTTCCTCTGCAAGTCTTTTTTTATGTTCAGTAAAAGAACCATCTGTGTACTCTTTGTAAATTGCTTTTTTATAAGAGCCACCAATTCTTGTCTCACTTTGTTCAAAAAAGATGCGAGATTCACTGTGTAAAACAAATTGCAATAGATACAAACAGTTAAAGTCATAATGCTCAGCTGTCCAAAGGCAGTCAGGACCTCAACCCTGTTTTCTGAACTATGACATGCCGAGTGTGTCTCTTTTCAGTGGTCTGGCCACACACTTACATGTAGTCCCATTAAGATGTGCAGGAATCCATTATCCTTCACTAATTTCTCTTTAAGAAAAAGCCACTGTGGTGTGTTGCCCTTAAAATGCCAGTGTGCTTAGAGACTCATCAACAATGATTTCTAGTCAACATTTCATAACCTTGAGTTTACTTTTAATTAAATGCTATAAATAATTCAACAACAGCAGATAAAAATACCAAGAATATGTAACATCTAAATTCAAAGTGAGAAGATTCAATCTACACTTCTACTCTTCAAGAAAGGACCTTTCAGTGTTTTACAAACACTATTCAAACAATGAACTGTGCCTTGTCCCTTGGGGAGGAGGTGAGTGTTTAACTCACAGATAAAAAATTTGAGGAATCAGTGTATTCAGCGATTGGTCCAGGTTTTAAATATGCAAACACAGAGCAAAGGGCAAAGCTATATTGTGCAGGCTGTTTCCTAGATGAGATGCTGTTAGCATGATTTCCATCAGTGAGGCCATGATCATGAATTCCTAGCTTTGTTCTCTTAGTCAGAATAATCAACCCTCTTGAATCATCGGGGGTCACTGCCTACATGGGATATAATAGTTAATCTTAGTCCCAGTGAAATGACTAACATAGCAGCAGAATTTACAGTAAGATTACAAAGAAAACAATAGATCTAGTTTGGTCTGATATTTATTCTAGCATTAATATTTAAGCAGAGGTAAGGACAATGAGCAATTCTGCTTAAAAGTCAGTTCTACCATACGTCTTACCTTATTTAGCATGTTTAAATCAATTCTGCTTGGAAAATAAAGCTTCTTTAATTAGAAGCCTTTACCTGTCAATGATTAATTCTTGTCCTGTAAAATGGTTCACTGCCGATGGGCCATAATTCCAGATGATCTCCTCAGCAGCAATGAAATACTGTCTTATCTTTGTACTCTCATTGTGAGCTGGTGTGGATTTCTTACAGTCTTTTACTTTAAAAAGGGCCTGCATACCACCTGGGAAAAAAAAGAGGAGGTAGAGAAACCTAAGGAGAAGGAACTGCACTTTGTTTTCCTTTTCCCTGCTTCCCACAGCTGTCCTCTTCCCTGGAGAATTCCCACATCACTGATGGACGTGCAAATCACAAACAAAGAAGAAGATGGATGTTATAAAAGAATGCATGCCAGCTGAGCTAGGAGAGACCCAGCTGTGGTATCTACAGCAGGTAGACAGGTGTGGTAAAGGGCTTTCTGCTTCTAAAGCTGCAACTGGCACAGCAGAGAAGATCAGGGTAGGGTGGATGCAGTTCTGTCGACGAGCACTTCAGCCAAGGTCAGATGCTACCAAACTGACCATCTTCCATCTAAATCTAACCAAGAGCTTACTTGTGAAACTGCTGGGTCTCTGCACTAAGGGAACAGTCTGTTAGCAAATCTGCTTGCTGGAGATACAAATAATATAGTAAAGAGAGCCCTTTTACAGTCATACATTAGGTCAACTTGTAGGATTCAAGTTTTGCCCAGGATGCTTCAACCATATCAGGATGTTGCTGGATGTGAAAACAATTTCAAAGTTTATAATCTCTGTGTTGTTGAATCTGTAAGTTACATACTCCTTTTTATATTAGAATTTTCAAATCTTGGAGAAGGATTTTCAGTTCTGTGTTCTTTCCCACTTTTGTGACAAATTACTTCTCTCCCTTATAGGGATACAGATAATTCAAAAGCATGGAATCAGCTTCTAAGTATTTCATATGGTTATCAAAACCTGAAAATACAGGAAGACACAGGGAAGAGAACAGAACATCTCAGCTTATTTGCCAATTCTGGAATGTCTTTGTCTGCAGGCAAGTTGCCCCTTGATAAAAATGGAGCGAGCCCCAGCTTTTATGTTGTCAAACAGAAAATTGTGGTTAGTTATTTTCAGTAAGAGGCAAACACTGTGCTGGTTTTTTGTCCAAAGTTGAGGCTTGCAAAAGTGCAGCTGTGCTAATTGCAGCTCCGTTAGAGATAAGAATGCCCTTGATTTTCATGGCTACATGCTCAAGCCCATCTAATGCACTTGTAGGCATTTCAGTTACTAACAGAGTTTTGTTACCCAGAGGAGAATATAACCAGGTCAGGAGCCCTGCCGAAGTGAGTCAGTAAGCTCTTAGCTCAAGCTAAAAAAATTCTGATCACTGAAACTTTTACTGTACCTTCAATGTGGTCATTCACTTGGCAGCTAAGCAGCCATTCCCCAGGGCTCCTTGGTGTCATGACAGCATCAACAAATGTGGCTGGGAAGAGGCTGATGGTGTCAACTCGATGATGCCTTTCTATTAAGGTCTGTCCATGAAAGTATGCTGAATGGATATCAGCTTCATTACCCATGCCAAAAAGATGCCATTTTACCTTATCTTCCACACACATCGTGAGGTTTGGTAGGTATCCATACATGTACCCATTGATGGCTAAAATAAATATTGTTTATTACAATTAACTTCACAGGTCTTAGGATCTTTTCCTCAAAAGCAGCTATCATACAACCATTGCTCTATTCTTCAAAATAGAAAGAGGCTCAAAAGAAAGCTCCACACCTTTGAAGGTGAGCCAATACCAGACACACATTTCATCTGCACAGTTACCTTCTATGATTCTGGAATTCCATTGGTCAGAGCCAAAGGTATCTTATTTGTTTACATTAACAGTAAAAATTGCTTTTCTAAACTGTGATATTGTAGTACAAAACTCAGGACTAAGAAACAGAACAAAGTAACACAACTCTGTTTAGAGTGCCTGGGAAACTACACTGGCAAAGAGCTTCTTGGCCCCTAAGAATTTTATATCACAACTCCAAAGGGGTGACTGTACAATACTTGCCCTTTTTTTTTATTTAAAAGGATCTTTCTTAATCCTCCAAGAAAAACCCTTGATTGAAAAAAAAGATTATCAACAATTCACCTTTAGAAGAGACAAGACACAAATACATTATTTCACCATATCAGTGACAAGCAACATTAATATAATGTTCTCTCACAGTGCATTTTATTGCTTTCTTGGAAGTCCTCATCGTCTTTGTCCACTTCGGAAGGCTCAGAACAGTATGTTCTGATATTTTCCTCTAGATACCAACTGAGATTTTCATCCATCACGGAAAACATAAGGATAAATTCAGCATCAAAGTGTTGATCACTGTCCCTATTCATTGTACCTGAAAAAGAAAGCAGTATATTCAAAGTCATATTCAAAATCCTTGGTAACTGACATTTTTTGTCAGTTTTAACTGTAGCCTCAGTAGGGCTGGACCCTGTTTTTGCCACTTTTCTTGAGTGTGACTGTACACATAAACTTACAGACACACTCAGGAAACAAAAATCCTTTTTGATAGATAGTATAAAATAATTGCATGTAAATCTGCTTCTTATATCAGTATTTACACTTCCTTGTATGAACACATCTCACTCTTGGATTTGTGGACAAAGTATTCTGCAAATTATATTCACTGTCACACACAAAATCAAATTACTTCCTATACTATTGAAGGCAGCTAATTGAGAAGACCAAAAGCTGTTATTTCAGAATCAACTGTAATCTTCTCCTCTTCCAGTAAATTATTTCACTGATATTTATCAGACCATTATCAATCATCTTGCATACGTATCTGTTTACTCATTTATTTATTTATGGTTTACCTTTCCTGCAAATTATTAAAGGCCCAACAAGCCCTGAGGCAACATCTCTTGGAGCATCTATGTGGGAGTGGTAAGCCCTGGTTATGCAGTCTGCATCTCCTGGAGCTGGGCCTTGATCTTCTGTCACGTCCCATGTGTAAGTGTACTGGCCTCCAGGCTCCACAGCATCGTCTCTCTTTTGCAAATCTTTGGTGTTGTCAGGATAAAAAGCACCTGAAGATGCCACACAGCCACTGTTACCACAACATATTCACAACAGGGTGTCAGGATAGCACCTACCATGCTTCAAGTTCACTACGTGTTGCAGTAAAATGGACCGAACATCTGGATATAGGTTAAAAAAGCACAACTTTTAAATCAGGGGAATAGATGTTTTCTTTCTCTTTAGAAATCTCTTCATTTGCCTTTGAAGTCCATAGGAGTACTTCAATTAATGGCACATTAAAGTTAATCCTTTATTTATTGGAAGGGGACTATGTACTTCTGGTAAAAAGATAACAATTCAAATATTTGCAAAACATTTGTTAAATATTAATCTTGGAAACTGTTCTAAAATATTGCTGGAAGGATAGCAACAGAAAGAAGTTCTCAAAAGTGCATGTACTGCTACGTAACATACTGTTCTGATTCCACAGTGTGGCTATATCAAGATATATACTGGTTGTAATGAAAAAGTTCACAAAATTTTAGAAGGTAGGCTGATACTTCATAACATTTTTCTAATGAAAGATTTTTAAAGACTGATTTTGAGACAACATCATATTCCCAATGATTTACACACTGTTTTTAAGGCCTACTAATAAAAGCCATATTCTGGTGCCATCCAGTGCAGAAAATCCCCCATTGTCTGAGTGTGCCAAGACTGGCTATTGCAAGGACAAGCCATCACTAATCCCAAAGGCACCCCTAAATACATCTTAAAGTGTGTCAGACTTTCATCTCATTAATTAATTAATTACTAAGTCATATCTGTTTTTCCATTTTAAGAGATTCTTGTGTCTCATATACCATATACACGAACTTAGTGTTAAGAATTTGGAACTGTATGTTATCACTGTTAACAATATCTTCTCTACAACAGCATCGATTTTTCTTTTGTGTATCCATACCTGAATTTCTTATATACCTTTATACCCTTAATTCGGTTGAAACACAAATACTGTTATTTCAGGTAAAATGTTGATCTAAAATTGCCACTTTTGGCTTTGTATTTCACTCTGGAAAAAATTCTCAAACTTCTTAGCTCCTATTTTAAATTGATTGTGTCCTAATTTAAATCTTTATTTACTTGACCAGTGTTCTCTCTGATGAGAGAATATCACTTACACTCAGGATGATTAACTTTTGATAAATTCTGGGACAGGACAGAATCAAGCCTACCTTCATTTTCTTTTGTATATCTTACACCATGTGGATGCAGTGTGTAGTTTCTTGAAGCAAAGTTTTTCAAGTGGACAGTAATGGAATCGCCAACTTCTCCTTTAATTATAGGACCTAAAAAACCCAGCCAGGAAGGTTTGTCAACTATCACATCATATAAATGATTGGTGTACTGAGTGTAGACAGCCTTCTTGTAAGTGCTTCCTATCCTATGTGGTCCTCTTTTGAGAAAGACTTCAGCCTGCCTGTAAAGAAAATACACAAACACATCTGTAGTGTCAGGTACTTGTTTTATATGTTAATGGTTTAAATTAATAGTCTCAAATAAAGACCCATCTTCCATAGCACTGTGCACAACCACGAGCAAGCCACGTGAAGCAAGTTAATACTTCCCAAAAATGCAAGGTATTTTCTATGAGGCTGAGTATTGTTTGAGCATGTGGGGAGGGAATTGTATGTACCTTGGCAAGCACAGACCTGAAATGGAATTAAAATGCCAATTCAGGGTTCCATGAAACTTGAGGAGTATAAACTCAGTTGCAAAGGCTCAGTTAGTAGAAGTCTGAGTGCATGAGGCTTTTGAGTTGCAAATGAAAGCAAACAAATAGGTTATGGCTCTTACTGGACTGTTTAAACAGCTACCATTTAGTTGAAGAGTATTCCTTCTGCACTGTGCTTTTCCCTGCCCCTATAAACACCAATTTTCACAGAGCCTCATAGTTAAAGGGCTCAGGAGAAGAGGAATTGAAGGACCTGAAAATGAGGAGTATAAAAAAAGGGACCAGCTCCACTTCAGGCGTACAACCACTGAAAACTTGGAATTAATGCAGCAAGCTGCAGGTCATCACAGAGCAGAGAAAAGCAGTGAAAGTGCAGTGAACAGCAGTGGTTCATTGTATTACAACACAGCTTTGGAATTCTCAGACAAGGCGTCTTGTTTCCACCCCTGATCAGAATTAGTAGCCTGCTGAATCACTGACAGTGTCTTATACCTCACACAGTTTGTGAGTGAAAGAAAAAAAGCTGACTGCTTCATCTCACACCCTATGGAGTGGTAGATTATGGCTGAGAGAGCTGGCTCTCACTAGAGAAAACAAACCACAGGAAATCATCTAATCCCTCATCCACAGACTAAATGAGAACTGCATTTCTGAGATCTTTCCAATTTCTGATTTCTCTCGTCACTGTTTTTATTTTGGTATAGTCCTATTTAATTTTAAAGGCACTGAAAAAATAGAAGGGAGGAACACTTTTTCTCTCAAATGTTTCTCTGATGTCCTTTATATCTGAGTTTTCTTTATTGATTATTCATACCTCCAGGGTGCTCCCCTCCTCCTGATTGTACTTATCCTCAGCCTACTCATTGCACTCAGTCTGTCCAGGACCCTCCTCGCCTTGCGACAAGCAACCCAGCTCCTCCACTGTGGTGGAAGGACCCAGTTGTGCTGCCGCACAGAGAACCACCCCTGCTAAAAAAGAACAGCTAAAAAGGAAACCTGTGCACAGTAGGAAAGTTTTAAATTTGTCAAGCTTCTGCATTTAAAAACAACAGCAAAAGTCATCTCTTTGCCACTGGCATCTTAGACATTCAAAGTTAAACATTAGACTTTTGGGGTCTTTTTCTAATCTTTTCTTAGTAAATGTTTCATTACAACAAATTCACACTCCCCTACATATTCAAATGCTTTTAATTAGCAGAACATTGGAATGAAGTTCTCAAGCAAGCCAGGAAAAAATCCACTGACACCAACAAGACTCATTTCACTGCCTTCACCAGTGTGGCCCTGGTGCCTAAACCAGACGATGCTGTAAAATCAAACTCAACCAGTGTGAACTGCTTTACTTACTCTTCTTCTGCAAAAAGCTGCCCCGAGACGGCGTTGGCATTGCCGGGCGCGTAGTTCCACACAGTCTCTGTAATGCCCAAGTAGTACTCACGGTTCACTGCCCCAGCGTGCCAACAGCAAGAAAACAGCAAGCAGTTTAGGAGAAATAGCTTCATTTTGCATTCATGAACCTTGTGGAAAACGTGAAATAAAAACGCAGGACAGGCCTATGCAATTTCCCTTTATATGTTACTGTGTCTCCCACTCCCCACTTCCTTACCTCCCTGTCCCTGCTGCTGTTTGCTTTGGTGAACACAATAACACCAATTGCACAATGTCTTTCTGTGTCAAGAGCAAACAAAAGATTCTGGTAACCTTGTCAGTTCAGATAATCTTCAAAGAAATTTTTTCTGTTTCTGCCAGCCTACTATCCTGCACATTTAGATCATCATCACCATTTAGACTGTCATAGATTGTAAATCTTGTCACTGAATTGAAAGTAGATTTTAATGGATTTACAGACTTAAGCTTAATTACATTCTTCACTATCTTCATGACTCTCTCTATAGCTTGGATGCTACTGAGAAAATAATTCTTGTGACCTGTGGCACAAGAACACAACTTCTCAAGCATGTTGTGGAAAGCTCTAAGCAACACCTTTCCCCCGTGTATCTGCTCTGCATTGATACAGGGAGCCCAAGGTACGCCTGCATCTGCCTGTTCCCCTTGCTTGTTCTGCTCCCACAGATCTTCCTCCTCCCTTCTGCACAGTCACCACCAAACTGACAGACAAGGGAGGACTGGTGTCACTGGGACCAGTGTGCACATCAGGGCATGCCTGGGTCAGCTCTACTGGCACACCACACTTCCCTTGGAAATGTAATTTTAGCACAAAGTGTGGCATGTGTTGCTAGAGATAAAAAGGACCGGCTATTCAGGGATGGAGGTGGGGAGTGTTTGCACCCCCTTTTGAAGCAGTTTTAGTGTTGCTCAACTGAGGCTCACGAATTCCACAAAACTACCTCCCTGTGTCATCTGCCTCCTAGTCTGTTGCAGACAGGATAAGCCACATTCTTCAATGATTAAAATCAGAAGATCCAGATAATCTTAACTACAACCATTATCAAAATGCACTACTCAGTGCCAAATGCTTCTTTTGCTTGATTCAAGTTCTGTAATCATTTTGTATCTGTTAGTCTCATTGAAAATTAAGAACAAAATTGGACCTTAAATATGGAATGTTTAAAAACCACCTAATTAAAGTTTGCAACGGCACTTTTTCTGAGCATATATTCATACAACGTGGCTGTGTCTGAAGCTTTAGACAAACACAGCCACCTGTAAACTTCTATTAAGAAAAACGTGTATTTTCAGTCACTTGGGAATTCTTAAAAAATCTTGTCTGTGCTCTGAGCACTGACACAGTCATTCTAAATTACATTTTCCATTGTATGGCAATCCAAAAATACCTGTAGTAACCACAATCTTCTCTGAAGCTATTTTAATACTGGTCAGAAAAATTATTATTATTTTGGATAGAAGACTAAGATTCAGAACATAACTAAAGTACAGCAGCTTTCCTTTCATGATATACAAATCTAAGCCTTGTTTACCAGAACTGTGGTATACAGATAAATTACCAATTTTAATCACCATTCATATAAAAAAAAATCAGGCACTGTCAGAATGCTGAATTTCATAATCTCACCTTTTGGAACATTCTACAGATCTGCACTAAATGGAGGACTCTGCTTCTGCCTAAATTACTGTGGCCAAAGCCCAGATTTTGAAATCTGACCAAATCTGTGATGAAATTCTGGAGTTTCGTGGGTTGGTGACACATGCTCAAAATGACTTCTGTAGGAATTTTTTTTCTTTGCCATGGATGACGGTCAGTGGTGCAGTGGAAACATCAGCTTATCCCGGTTGCATGTGACCCATCTGTAAATTAACTGAGGTAAAAATGAGAAAATGTTACACTACTTAAATTCAAAGTCACTACTTAAATTCTCAGCTAACAGAGTTGTTCATGCGTATGTGGCCTATTTGGTTTATATTTCTTCAGGTTGCCATTGGATTGAGGAAGACAAAAAAGCAAACAAGCAATACCCTTGAAATCTCCACATTTATTTGAGGGTAAAAATATGAGCATTTCTTTCCTCAGACCCTTGAATCCTCTAAATTACTCTTACTTGATTTGCAAAAGAACTACATGTTGTTCTTATTTAAAATATAGCAAAAACTTCTGAAAGGTAAGATTTTTCCATTCTCACTTTTAATGGTGCCTCCCCCAAACTTTCAGACATCTGTGTGCCCAAGCACGCTCCTATTATCTTTTTCTTGAGGAACTCAAAAAACTGACCAAAGTACCTGAGCTTCCCAACCCTGTATTATCTTCAGAGGGCGTCTGAAGAGCAGGGACCTCTCTCCTCTCATAGACAGGGCCTAAAAAGACCTGATTTAATTGGTTAAATTTTGAGTCTGCAGTTTGATGTTATGAATATCCCATTATTGTTTTAAACCACTTTACCTTATTTCTCATATTGAAGCTGCTGAAAATCCCCAAAATTGCATTGAAAATATAAAGCTGATATTTTACTTCAAAAATTTTCCTTGAAAGAAAAAAGAACAAACCAACCCAAAAATGGAACATTCTGACAAAGAGGTCTCAATAAAGTCTCCCAGTGAAATTGAATTGAACCCCCACCATTTAACAATTCCTAGATCTGAATGATGTGTGTCTATCTCCTGCCGCCTGTGCTGGTGCTCTGGCCACCTGCAAACCTCTACAGTCAAACACCCTTTAAAGATCTGGGGCACCTCCCCTATTCTTCCTCAATGTGGAAAACCATCCAACATGAGAAGAATTAACAATCAGGAAACGGTACTTCAGCAAGAGTCACTTTTACCTACATAAGGATTAATATACCCCAAAATGAAAAGTTGTGGATGGGGTTCCACAGTATTTTACCACAAAGCTCTGCCCACAATTACTTGTGGTCAAAACCAAGTCTCTACAGCAATTTCCAGTTGCAGTCTTTAAACACATGGTATTACTTTTCCAGACACAGCATCCCAATACTCTCGCAAAATGCACTGGCTGTGAGGGACAAATCATACTGAAACTCTTACTGCCAGATTCAGCATTAACCGCTCCCTGGCAGGAGTTTATAAACTCAAAACTGCAGCTTTCTTCCAGGTGAGCCTGGGGTGTTTTACATCTGGATTTCAGCAGGCAGCACGTGCACTTCAGGTTCAGGAACACTTGTGCAAAAAAGGGTTTCTCCCATTCCAGTGTGGCGTGAGCCCTGTAGTGCCTCTGGGGGCCGCTTCTCCCTGCTGCTGTTGGGGGAGGCCCGTGTCCTGCAGCTGCATGGTCACCACCGGGGTAATTGCTTATGTCTAGATTTCAAGCCAGTTAATTAATATTCTTTACAGGAATCTTGTTTTTGCTACCAGGCACAGTTCATAGCATCTCCTGTTAGAGTCAAAATATTTAGGATTGAATCAGGACTTATATTGATTAGATCAAATTTAACTTTGCTTTACATCCAAAAGCCCTGCATGCAACTGGCTGTTAAATTTGGAAATACAACTGTTAGCCTTTAGTATTCTTATGAAAAATTTCAAATTAATAAGCTGAGCATTTAAAAGCTGAACTGTCAAGTCACAGTTGAATCTGACTATGGCAATGGAGATGGCAAATTCTGCATTATGAATAAAGGGGGTTGCAAGATCAGGAAGTTCACCAAGACATAAACCACATGTTTCTTTCTTTAATTTAAGCCCCTAAAATAGGAGATGCCTGTGGTAGAGTGGAAATGAAAATTCACCAGACACAATCAGATAAAAAAGGACGAATTAAAGACAGCTCCACAGTTTGCAGGCATGAAATCCTCAAGATTGTCCAAGATGTTTGGTAGGAGTATGGGTTGATTGTTAAGTTTTCTCTCTTTTCCTTCTCCCCACAAACAATATTCACAAATCCATGAGAATGCAGGATTAGCATTTAAGTAGATAAATTATATGTTGCATATTGAAGCCTAAAGAAAAACAAGTATGCAGTGACAGAGTCCTCATTTTATAATCATGTATTTTTATCATGCACCTCTGACCAGCTATGCCACTTCAAACCATCTCCCAAAAGACTAGCCCCATTCTTAAACATCATTAATTATTTTATTACTTCTTGCAACTTAATAGAAACTAAGCAATTAAAATCAAATCCTACAGGAAGAAATCAGCTTTTCAAATCAACCTGATAAAGGAATATGAAGGCAAAATCTTAATATTGTCTTAAACTGAATTAAATGACTGATATAATCTATATTTTTATAAATACCTTACCCAAAGCTGACACTTATTGTATGATTTGCATTTCTAACAGTGTTTCATATTAGACGTTGATATACCCGAATCCCACTAGTTCTGATGTAATAGGGATATGTGCATTACTGCAAGTCTGAAGTCCATATTTCTCTTTCCACTGGGTGTTCATTCTCTCACAATCAGAGTGCTGAATACAGCCAAATCTTGCTCATGCACCTGCAAATGAGCCAGATGTCCACTTCATTGTGAATCCCTGAATTTTCACTGGGAACGAAATAATAATTCTCTGAGAAAGTAAAAGTACCTTTTAGCTGCTAATTTAATACAGATTATTCTTTTTCATCTGATCATTACTGTCAGGAACTTTAGCCTTCCCTTGTAGCAAGGTCAGGGCATCAGGTCACTTAGAAGAGCATTAATAAGCAAGCACTGGGTCCTCACAAGTTTTCCTCATATGCTCCGTCAAGTCACACCATACTTGACTAAAATGAAAAAAACCTTTGCCTCTGAGTATAAAGTGAAAAGAAACCCTGTGCAGCTACTAACATGTACCAATAGCACAGCTGACTTCAGAGCTGTGTATGTAATCTGTCAATCAGACCTGGCTAACTTTCTTGCTGCAGGAAGACTTCATAGATTTTTTTTCAGTAATTGCTTTCTGCAGTTAAGAAGTTCCAAGACGGAAGGAACAGGGTAAGCTCTGCCCTCCATGGCCATCATGGTCTCTCTGTAACTAAAATTCAGTCATTTAGGAAATCATGGCTTCATGCAGTGCACTAACAACCCCTCCTGATATACTGGGCTTTGAATCAGGCCCTTACGGAACTACAAATGTTCATATGGTCTAAGCAATGAGAGGGGAGTATGAAAGCAGTTCTACAGCAGTTTATTAAAAAAAAGAAATGTGGTTTCAATACAAAAGTAGTTCCATGGTATTCAAACATCCCTACTGTCACAACAAGTTGGAGGTTAAAAAATTGAAGAGTCCCTGCCAGGGACAACAAGACAGGCAAAATAAAGTGTAGATGTCAAACAGTTCAAACAACTTCATCCGAAGCAGAGAGGTTTGAGAGACAAAGATTGAAGAGAAAGGTTTCATTTGTCTTTGTAGCACTCAAGTCTACCACCATGGATGTTGGACAGGCCATCTCTCTTTTTCTGGTGGTGGGGGAGAAGCAGTGACAATTTCCTTCCCATTTTCAGAGAATCCCAGCCTGCAAATAAAAAAGGAAGTGCAAATCTCATCATTGCTGTGAAAGCCACAGCAATGATGGTAAGAATGTAAATGGAATGCTTGAAGAAAGGTGCTCAGCAAAGTACTCTGCTGACATAGGGGTAAAGGACTTGGCATCAGTGCTGAATTTCCAGCCACTTTTTTTTTTTTTCTCAGTCCTAGCCCTAAAGGTCAGAGTGAGCAGCCACCAATTCCTGTATACCACAAAGAATTAGCAGATTAATCAGAAACAAAAAATGTATTATCAATACATAACCTCTGGTAAAAAAAATGCACTAGCACAGAGAATGCATAAACCAAAAGGGTAGGTCCTCAACTAGGAGGAGAAGTTTCTGTAGCTAAACTGACCTGGAGGTGCTGAAGAAATTAACCTCAGATGTTTTGTTACCTGGACAAAAACAGAATAGGTCCCACAGAGCGTTCGCTTCAACTCGGCAGCCACTTTGAGAAAACAGATGATCAGCTGCAGCCCACTGAGAGCTATGAGAATGGAGAGTAAAATGACATTCCACTCCACGATGTTAGCAGGTTCTGTGCATCGAGACCAGGCAGGGTAATCTGTGAGGTACCTGTTAGAGAAACACCAGTGTGAAGTAAGAAAAATGTGTCTGACTATTTTTTTGATGAACAATTCCTTGCAGAAGAGTTACACTGATGTTCCTTACCTCCCAGCAGTGTCTTTGAAAATATAATCCCATCCACTTGATGAATTACAGAAAGGGCCTTGAATCAAACCCAGGGTAAAAATGATGCAACTGTATCCTGAGAAAGCAACTCCAAGCAGGGCTAGTACAATTGAAATAAAACTCTGGAATAAAGAGAGAGAAATATTACTCTGAGGGGCAGTGTCCACAGCAAACAGTCATTCAGTCTGCCTAGCTACTTCCTTGGGGCTGAATTTCACATTTGATTTTCTCAATATTCAAAATTCAAAAAGAAAAATAGCAGGTAAAGAATAGTAAAAGCACACACAAGCAAAATAAAGATTAAGACATTGTTTAAGACAGGTCCATAATAAGTTACAATATTGTTTGGGTGGGCTTTTTTAAACTTGCAGTTTTGTAAAATTTTTCCCAAAATACAACAGGAAACCCAACCATGTATTAAATAGTCTGCATTCCAGATAGCATATATTGAGTCATTAGTGGAAAAAATAACTTCCAAATAAGACAGGCAAAGGCATGAATCTATTTAGTTGGGGCACTTTATTGACATACTCAGGCCTTTTACATTCTTATTTTATTTTACAAGGATTTAGGGGGAGTATGTGTCTAGTTTTCTTTCATCCTGCTTATGCATCAGAAGGAAGAAGCTACACTTTCTGTGACCTTGTAACCCAATTTAGAATCCTTCTCTTTGAAAGGAAGTGAAAACGAACAGTAGAGGGGGCAGAAGGATGTGCTGGAACCATGGGAGCAGGAAGGCACTCAAAACAAAAGCTAAGGAGATGCAGAGATATAAAACATAGACTCACTCTGTAGGTTTTGTTACAGCTCTCACTCTGGCAGCACCGATAGAATACGCTACACTCCAGTGTCATCAGAATTACTGCCAAAAGAAGGATCTGTAAGGGGACATCATAAGGTCAGTGAGATGACTGCAGATACTAAGCCAAAGACTCCTTTACCTATGGAAAGCACGGACTGCATTTCTTGTGCTCTCTTGAGATTTTAAAGCTGATCTGTGGGAGAGCACAATTACTCAAGGCACACATGGAACTGGAGTGGCTTTACTAGGCTGTCACTGTACTTGTGCTTGAAAGACAAGAGCACAGTGTCTCTCACCAGAGTAAAGTGCTAAGAGCTTGGGCGCAGCTACACTAGTGAACCTGAAACAATGAAACCAAGTTCACAAGTAAGAGAATCAATACCAACGAAACGAAGGATGTTTTATTGATACAACCACATCAGTTCAACAGCTTCTTGCTGACACAGGTACACGGATCAGGGTATTGCCTTCCTTACCAACACAGTCACGCTAGAAAAAGTCAGTAGTGCAAGCTGCTAATTAAATTCACCTGGACTTTCATGTGTTTTCTCTGTCAAGTACCTATACTGATTTTCTCAGACTACTGCATTATTTCAGCTTGATCCTAGAATCATTTTGATAAATAGGATCTAGACTCCAGAACCACAAACTGTCACTCAGAGAGGCATTAGTTTGAAAGGGGAAATATGAGAAGGGAATGTTTCTGAATCATAGCATTATCCTCTTGCATGCTGCTGACCTGTCGGTAACACAATGACATATGCATTTTTAATAAATTGGTAATAATCCTAAGGCTAAAAATGCTTCAAAATATCAATATCACTGTTGCAGTTAACTTTTTCCCAAATTTGCAACTGTTTTTCTGTTTCAATCCTCTGTCTGATAGGTTTTTTCCTCTGCTAGAAAAGATAAGATTTTTCTTCTGCTTTATGGAGAATACACAATTTCAAAAGAAGTAACTCTCTCTTCAGCATCTTCATAAAAAAACCTCACTTACGCAGATGAGCCCTTTTTAAGCACTGATTGTGTGTAATGCACTTTGATCACATAACTGCTTTCTATCCCTGAGTATACAGCTCTTTATGAAGATAGGGAACAGCATGAACAGCGGGCAACTCCATGGTAGTTTATTACTGCAGGTGAACATACTACAAATGTAATGGGGAAAATCCTACTATGACAATCACAGCGAGACAATTCTCTGTATTCAACCTGACAACAGTGGCATCTGATGCATTGTGAACTGTCTTCTAAATCCAGTCTTCTAAATACGGGACTACATACAGCTCTTAAAAACATCTGAACCATTACGAGAAGTTTTTGTTTCATTTTGTTTTGGTAACAGAGCTCTAATTCAACCTTCCTAGAGGACTAAATCAACATAGTGTCTACCTTCATAATACAAGCGTAAATTACGCATAAACAAAAAGACAGCAGAAAAAAACGCACCCTGCAAAATCACTCATGTTAAATAGTATACACATTAAATAGTATACACATTAAATAGTTTACCTAGCTTGTCGTTCAGTATATTAACTTTTTTTTTAATCTGATTGAGTTTTTTGCCTACGGTGATTTTGCCAAAGTAATCCATATGTTCTTTAAAAGCACAATTGCACTGCTGAAGAGTAACCCAATATCATTTGCAGTAGAATGCAATTCACTAAAAACCCATAGAATGAGCACTTACCATCACACCTGAGAAACAGATCCCTTCAAAATACCACACGTAGCTGGGGAGCTGGTAACTGGCTGCATGCAGAGCTTTCCCATTCGGGAAGTACAGGAGGATGTTCACAACAATACTCCAAAGTGCAAGAGGTATCAGCAGGCAACTCAAACAGCTTCCACATGTCTCTAAAGCCATCTCTCAAGAACTCTGGAAATTTTGCTCTTCTAAGCTAACAAAAGATTACAAGATTTTAAATATAAAAAGTCTTTTGACCTCCCCAGCCTGTTTCAGTCATTTCATATATCACAGGAACCAGTGACTGGGGTGTGATTCCAGGGACAGAAGTGCTTAATAGTTAGCTGAACAGATGAATATCGCTATGTAAACTCGCTGTCCTGTCTAAGCACGTCTTTAAGTAGCTATTTCCCTTCTAAAAGATCCTCCTTTGTGATCTTCCAAATGAAATATATCTAGGAGTCAGACTCAGGAAGGAAATTCAGAGCTCTCATTTCCTAGTGACTGCTCAAAAATGCCCTCCTCCGCCCCAGAATACAAACTGTAACACAGACAGTTTGTGACAGAGGCACGTTGTTCAGCCTCAGTGCAGCATGGGGAAGGGGGCTGTCAGATGAGAAATATTCAGTCTCTGTGTAGAAGGCCACACTTTGCCTCACACGATAGATTTAGTAACAGAGCCCTAAGGGGAAACTTGTTGCTGACTTGGGACAGTCGCACAGAAACACCAGGCTGAGTCTGGGCCATAGTGCAGAGAGCACAGAAGCCCAAATAACACTGGTTAGAAACTGCCAGGCAGACTTACTGTCACACTTTTAATCAATTACTCTTTCGCACAGCATTACGTGGCTCAACTGTTTTTCAAATCAAATCCTGCTATTTCTCCAATTGTTTCATTCTGTGCTTACAGCTGAGCTTGCACAGCTACAGACCTAACCTACGTACACGTGACTTCTTGTGCAGGACAAAAGGTCTGGCTGTTTTTTTGAAATGCCTGCTGTTTGCAGCTTCCCCATTGTCACATGTCATCATTCCCTTACCCCTGAGCAACTAAACATCTACGCCAGTAACACAGAGCTGGAGTGGTCTGAACACAGCTTGACCCAAGCCCTCAGTCTACACCCCTGTGAGTCATCAGAAAAGTAACTCTAGAATGAGTTTAGGTTTTACTCAATAGGAAAGTTGTAGTCAGACAACAAAAAAATGGGGCTCTATCAAATGCAGGAAGGCTGATTTTAGAAGCAATGATGTCACAATATATTTTCCTTCTGTTTCCTCATGAGCTGTTTCAGGCTCTGCACGCATGAGGCTTCTCACATCATCTCATAAAAGCTCTTTGGATTGCATATTGTAACTAATACCATACTACTGCTTTGAATGAGATCACACAAGGAAATGGGCATGGTGGTACTCACACAATTACACTGTTTTTCTACCCTTCTCTGCTGTGACTCTCCTCTTTTTCTAAGAGGTTTCATTTTGATCTTCCCATATCTCCTGTTTTACTCTCTAATCACTATGGACACTTTTTTTCAGGTCTCCCTCCAATCAGAAGTAGTAGCAAACCTGCCTTTTCAGACTCACAGGCAAAGACAGAACTCCTGTCATCAACGCTGTGCCTTATATAGCAGAGAAAACAGCTGCATTAAAAGTACACACATCAAATCTTCATGACTGATCTTTTATTAAAAACTCAGAGATCATGTAACAGGTTGAAATATTTTTTCCTAAAAGCAGAGGCCAAAATTAATAGTAAGCAGCTTATTTTATAACGAAATTTGCTGCTACTTCTATTATAAGCTCTTCTGATTAGAAGAAACTAACTTGGGAAACAATGCCTGAAGCAGCATTTGTTCTGCAGTACAGCAGTCCAGATCACAACTTAGTTTGTATTCAAACTGAGCTCTGCAAATACCAAATCATAGTGTGGTTATTTTGCTGGCACACAAAATCACTAGAATAGGAAACAACCATTCTATACTAAGAATTAAGCAAATCTGTAAGACAGTTTCTCAAATATCTTACCAAGTGTTGCAAGCACTGCTTTCCTGTTGCTGTCATTATCCATGAGTTGATGCCAAGACTGTTACCGAAAAGTCATGTTTACTCTGGATGAGTGACTTCTCTGCCAGCTGAAATGAATACAACCTAAACCAACTGCTTCTCCACAATATAGTTGATAAACCTCCCAAAACACTGTGTTAGGCACCAGGCAACAAAGGAATCCAACTGTCCTTTTTTTACATAACAACATAAATAATGAGTAGCAGTGTTGTGCATTAGTGCTACATGGATCTGAGCTGAAGTTTTAAATCCTAATCTACCCTAGTCATTCCATCTATTGCAATTTCTAAAATTGTTTCAGTTCTTTAATTAATTGTGTGTACCAGAAAGACAAATAACCATTATGCAAGCATAAAGGCAAAAATCTCTGAGTTGCATGGCATTATACCTGGCTCCACTGGGGATCCTCTTCTCAGCTTCTCTCCTTCCACACCCATTTAAACTTGCAGATATTTTTTCAAACAGTGTTTCTTCACATACAAAGACACTGTATTGCACAGCTGCAAGGAATTTTGTCTGTATACACATGTGCATGCACATATTGTCCTTCCTTCCTCCCATAGCAGAGCAAGACAGGGATAAATACAACAAACAAATGTCATTAAAACTCTCAACTACTTCTATGTATTTAGGTATGAATAAATGCTATTGCAAAAATCATGTCTCCTGAGATTCTAAACACAAACTCTTCCCATCTGTGAGCTCTTTTGCTGCTGTGGATGTGTGTGTACAATTTTGTTTTCGCAGTTAATTTCTTTTTTTCAGATACTCATTTGTACAGGGCAGATTCGACTGTGTGGACAGCCCGAGATACCTCTCAAGTTTCTGGCTACCTTTAAAGACCATCCTCCTAGTTACAAATGGCCTAAGGATGCACTGACACCCATGGGAGTTTTTCTCCCATAAACAGAAATCAACTTGCCTCTTTTCAAAGACAACATTAACAGCTAAATACCAAAAGTGAGAGTCATTTCTCTGAAGTAAATAGCACGCCACATTTTGGTTTTCACTTGAAAATTGCCACTACCAGCTGCATACTGACCTTGCCAGCAATGCTGTTGGCAGCACGTTATTCAGATTTACTTGTGATAAAACATTCACTCTAATATGCTACAAGCTATACGTCAGAGGTTCTTGCACAGTAGCTTACAATGATGCCTCCAGGCTGCTTACTGGTGAAGTCAGGTATTTCAGATTAATCTGTTTCTGCTGACCTGCATTTGGACTGTATTCCCCCAACACTGTGAGGCCTGAGGGTCTACTGAGTGAGGTAAAAAACAAGAGTCAGGCCCACATTTTGTTTTGTGTCCTGTAATGCTCCTGTAATGGAGCAGTCAGAAGGTGATCCCCCTTGGGGGGGAAAGAGAGGACTCATAGCTGGATTCAGCTGCACAGGGACCCCTTTGGGAACTGCCAGCCAGGACTAGGATTCCACATGTGCGGCTGTATCTGTCACAGAGCTGTTGCTGAACCTTTGTTGATTCAGCTAAATGATCCAAACCAAGCAGTGAAGCAGTTCCACTCTGGCAGAGCCTGTTGGAGAGGAAAAGCAGGTTATAACCTGACTGCATTATATCCACATTCTCATGCCACCACTGTCCTTTACTCCAAGACCAGGCAAGCAGTGTTTCAGCATGGGCAGGGAAGGAATCATTGACACCTGATGGGTATTTTTAATATAAATCTTTATTTGTGAAATACAGGGGAAGTTCAGAAAAATCCTGAAAAGGTGAAGTGCATGTATCTACCCAAACCCCAGTATTCATTTATATCCAGGCCAGACTAGATTTGGTTTGTGTTCATTCCAAGATCAGAATGAAAGAGTAACTTTATTGGGAAAGCGAGATAAAGTACAGAGCCGTTGTGTCAGTATAAAGAAAAAAATAAATAAAGCCTCTTTAGTGATGTGTTCAGGCAACTGCCCGTACTAAGATAAAATGAACCAAAGAAATTCAGGATACATTTTGCCTTTAAGTACAGGCAGGTTAGTGACAAACCTGCATATGACTCCAATAACAAAGGCTGGCCCCAAGTCAGTTAAATTGATGGCAACAGCACAGTTTGACAACAATGTGTATTTCAGTATGCATGGAATGTTTAAAAAAAATCCACAGAATACTCATTACATTATACACACACCCACCGACGTCAATGCATTGTCAGGTTTCTAGCAAACATATGTCTGCAGGGGGAACAAAAAGAAAGAAACATATTAACATATTAATGGAAAGAATGCTAATATTGTGTCCCAAATATAAATGAAAAAATTAACCTGACCAAATTTAGACAACCATAGCGTGCCTCTTCCGTACTGCAGTTAGACCATGAAAGACAGGAGGAAGAAGACAGCAATAGCTTTGAAAAAGCCCCAACACTCAACTATATCAATTAAAAATGTGAAACACATTCTTACCTACAATGTGTGATACAAATGATATCTGGTTCATACCTTAAGCCAACACTACCACTGTGATACTGATTTTAGCAATATGCCCAAACTGTTTAACAAGGTTTTAAAGAAATTTGGAGGAAATTCCCTTTCCTCACTCAAAAAAATCCACCTTCAAAAACCCTTCAGACCTGTCTGCAGATTTTATTAGCTGAAAAATTTAATTCCTTCTCTTATCTTACTTTTACTAAGCAAGGCCAGGATGCTGCAGTTTTCATTACATGAAGCATATTATCAGTAGTTTATGAGCTGCTGTGGGCAAAACACAAGGCTAATGCAATATAGTTAGAACAAGTATCACACTATGCAACCATGGTTTAGGCAAAGACCACAACCACCAAGAGATCAGTGTCTCAGTTATATCACCCATATAGTGCTGATGATCACATGTGCCACTGGGCAGACAAAAGCCTTCCAGCTCCTTGCTTCCATGCAGACTAATGTCACTGTGAGAGCTGAAAAATCAGCTGAACGCACGTGGCCAAACACTACATGAAAATGCTAAACACAACAGGGCTATAAAATCTGTTGCACAGGGAACTTGTTGCTTATGAATATCTAAAAAGTAACTGCTGAGTAAGACTCCACAGTAGCATCAGTAATAATACTGTTTCATGTTCATCCGAGAAGCGGGGTTATAACTACAACCGACTTACCTCCTCGTGACTGCACAACCCACACAGTCCTCCAAGAATGCCATTGATTATCTGTACGAAGCACAGAATGAACTCTATTCCTCCCAAGACAAGGAGGATGGAAAAGAGGGTGACATTCCACTGCACGATGTTTTGAGGTTCTTGACATTCAGACCACTTGTTATACTCAAACAAGTACCTGTACACAGCAATTAAAAGTGTATTAACATTGTGTCAGAGCGGATGCTTATCATACACTAGAACCAAATTATGCCTAGTCTGTAACTGCACCAGGGATATTCACTCCAAGTGGGAACAGAAAAATCAGTGTTTATTCCATGCAAAGTTTCACAGAATCACCAAATATGCTGAGTTGGAAGGGACCCACAAGGATCATCGAGTCCAACTCCTGGCCTTGCACAGGACCATCCCTAAGAGTCACACCATGTGCCTGACAGTATCGTCCAAACACTCCTTAAGCTCTGTCAGCCATTGTACCACTTCATGCTAACACAAAGCAACTTCAGAAGTAAGCCTGACAAAGCAGACTCTTACACAAATCATATGACAAATTTCATAACAACCACTATTCATAGGTTGAAAATCCCTCAAAGTCATAAAACTTTATACTTTGTTAGAGATGTTCAGGGACATGAACAGTATATGACATATAGATTTAATTATATATATATAATATATTCATAGAGTATATAGTATATATATTATATACTATATATATAATTATATTTTTTTTCTATTGATTTGGTTTCATATTATAGCAGTGTGGGTAACTGATGCCATTTGTTTAGCTCTTAGTGAGCGAGAAGCATAAATTATGAATGAATCTTGATATATGGTTACTGGTTATTGCTGAAAGGTACTGGAATAAAGCCCATGTGTACATGGGGTAAGATATAACATCCTCAAGGACAGACAACTTACCCTCCAGAGGAATCAGTGAAAGGATAGATCCAGTTTCTCTGTAGGTGGGTAAAACAATATGGTCCTTGAGACAAGCCCAGTGCTGAAATGATTATACAGTATCCAGAGCCAAGGATCCCAACAAAGGCTGCCAGAACCGAGGACAGCATCTGCACAGCAGACAAACATGAACTTTCAGCACAGCCATCATCTTGTGTTTGGGACTAGCCGGGACTGGGGTGTACAGGCTCACTTACCACACAGCTCTTCCCACAGCCCCCATGGCCAAAGCAGCCACAGCAGTCCCCATTGTGCAGCCCAATGAACACTGCAGCTGGAATGAGTACCTGGGTATGGAGCAAACACAGCGTTCGTTCTGGTTGCACAGAGAGGGCAGATAAAACACGGGCTCACACTGCATTCATTTATGTTACTTCTTGATGGTCAGCCTGTACAGGTGATTCAGCTTTACTCCTATTTAACACAGTAGTCGTCTTGCCAGGATACCCCAGGACAGGTGTATTTCTACTGCCACTTTGTTTACACACAGCACTTAAGTGCAGAAAGAGCCTGTTGATGTATTGGTCCATTTAAAGTATTTCAGCTTTGAAAGCTTTTGTTCACATTTAAGGCTGTATCCTGCAAACAAAATGCTTTGCAAAAGAAGGCATTCACTTTCTGCTAAATGAGCCTACAAGATGTCTCATTTATCTAAAAAACAGCTACTGCCAATATACTAGTTACTTAAGAGCAGTCATCACTGCTTGTGTGACAAACCAGTCTGACTGGTGTAGAAAGTCTAGCAATATTTTGCCCAATTCAGGCAAACATCTCATTACAGATATCTACCTTTCTCCAAGTTTTCACAACCAGTTTCCAGTGACAGAAATGCAAAGTAACAGAGCAGAAGCTATCTGTAAGAAACATAAATTATCCATACTCCAGAGCTTTTAGCATAAAATTAAGAAGGAGCAGAGCTGATTAAAAAGAGGATCCTCCCACCAGCACAAACAGCACTTTATTTAATAGAGTCCACTTACAAAGAATCTACACCCAGGAGTACTCTGGAAAATCATACAGAAAGAGTAAAGAGTTACCTGCAAACTGCATAGACTTATTTAACAAGAAACTAAAATAAGAACTATCCAGTTGAACAGACACATACTTGTCAGCCCTTACTCAAACCTACTGCTGAGCCCCAGTGCTGCAGGTCCAGAAGAAGTTGTACAAGTGTGTTGCAGGAGCAGTTCCATTGATTTCACTTGTATTATTCTCTACGTGAAGCCCAGTCTTTGCAAATCTCAGTCTAGGTTCCAATGGGGCTGTTACACACTGTAAACTCCTCTCACTACATAGAGCACAATTGTTTTCAACCTGTGATTTGCAGATGCCTTAAGATCACAGAATCACAGAATGTTAAGGGTTGAAAAGGACTTGTAGCCTCTTTCTGAGGCCTTTTAAAAGCAGATGAAAAAGGAAGCCTGGAGTCAGGGGAGTTAAATATGCTACAGTGTGGTCCACAAAACTGAAAAGGTAGAAAATAATAGCTTCACATTAACAATATCATATAATGAACATACTCGATTCTTCATCCTTTGCTGTTACTCAAATGCAAAGCTTTGACAACTGCTACTCGATTCCTCTGAATAGAATCATAAAATCAACCAGGTTGGAAAAGACCTCTGAAATCATCAAGTCCAACCCTTAAATCATCAAGTCCAATAAGTAGCTAAGGCAGAGAAATAACTGTCAACCTCTCAGATAACAGAAACTAAGGAATTGTAAGTAAATGCTAGTTAGTTAGGGAGATTTAAAAGGACAATGGTTCAATAACAAAAAAAAAAATTAACCCTTTATGCAAACTGTGACCTGCTGAGAGGTTTGGCTTGCATTTGGATTCTGTGACCTAGACCCTATGATTTTTTTAGCTTTAAACTGACATAATCTTGCAGATAAGATAACCAACAGTAATTAATAACACCTCTAGGATAATATAGCTAATTTTTTTTATACAACTACAGAGTTTCCTGCTGATGAGATATGAATTATTTAATGCAATTGGTAAAAGAAGAGCCATACCAAATAGCTCCAAAATAAACTTACAAAAAGCCACCAGGTCATTACTTACCAGAAAGCCTCCACCTAGAATGCCATGAAGGCACTCTACGTATTTGCCAAGGTGATGCTCTGAAGCAAATCTTGTTTCGCCATTGGGAAAATAAAGTAAAATGTTGGCCACGATGCAGAGCAGGGCAAGGATGAGCAACTTATAACCAACACATCTAGCACACCTTCCAAAACACATGTCCTCAGCTTTACAAATTCTCCTTAGGTTGGATCGGACTAGTCAATCTCATACCTGTCCACACCTAAAAGAAGACCAGTGTTTATTCTCACCTCCTTAAATACCAGGGATTACCTTAGCTACCTGGATGACGTTTACAACCCTTCCTAACCACCCTTCCCAATTGCAGAGCGAGGGAGCAGGGACGGCAGAACGCCACCGCCCTTTTTAAATGCAGTAATTGTTGATGAACCAAACGCAATCAAGGAAATATTGAATACTAGGTAATTTCACTCTAATATATGATGCTTGAAATGATCACTGGTGAACATGATTAGACGTGAACAACAGGCTTAAACCACAACACAAGTTCTGTTGAGAACTGAAGAAAAAAGGTTTTGTTTTCTTTGTTAGAAGAAGCTTTGAATTTTAGGTTTATAGACTGATTCAGAACAACATGAAGCCAGGGAAAGACTGAGCTGACATCAACAGTACTGAGTCAGAGTTTTGGGTATAAACAGAATAAGGTCTGCAGCAATGAGGAGTACGCAGAGCAATCTCTCACTGTGCTGTCCTTTTGATGGAACAACGGCAAACCTCACCAGGAGGTTAGAAAACAAATAAAATTAACAGGTAGGCTTCTAAGGAGTGTCCTTATTCTTGCCATTATAAGACAAGCTGAATTTAGATTAATAGCCATTTGGTAAGGAGCTTGGTAATAGCTGAACCACTGGTGAAAAATACTACTTTCAAAAAGCAGGATTATAAAAGACAGTCCTTGCACTGAAATATCATGTATAGAAACACACACACACAAAAGTACCAAGAGAGAAATAGATTGTATCAGGAGTTTCCAGAACTACATGTACCAGTAAGATTAACTCGCATAGTAAAGAGAGATACAAAGTGACCTATAAAAATTAAGATCTAGCCTTTTATCTTTTCCCTCATGCAGATTTTGCTAAAACAGCCCAAAGTTTTCTTCTTCACATATACACAGCTCAACAGAGAGGTGTGAGCTGTCATGCCCACTCTCATCACATGACAAGAGGTAAAATGCACAGGCCCAGACTAGATCCAGGAGGTGCTGCTTCTGCTACTATCATCACAGTACAACATAATTCTCACTGCAAAAACAGAAGTAGACAAACTGAATTTGGGAATGTACAGGATATCAGAGAACTATAGTGAGATTTTTTCAAAAGCACTCATTCAGGTTTGGTTTTGGTTTTTTTTTGGAGGGGTGTTTAACAGCTAAATAACACAGCAAACACAAGCCCAAATCAAATCCATGGTATACTTGCAAGAGGTGTGAGCAACACTTAAGCTGAGAGAGAGTGTACAAAAAGAAAAGGCGGGGGGAAGGGGTGGGGAGAGAGCAGCCTGGTGCAGCTGTGGGCCTGTGATGTTTGTGACGTAACTTCTCCGGGTATTGTAGCTGCTGACCTTGGAGACTTCCTTCATCATGAGAAATATCCTCCAATTGTAGAAACACAGGCTGGCCATTATTGTGCACTTCACCTCTGATGACTAAAACAAGCATAAACATTAACCTGCAAGTTTCCTCTGCAGAAGGAGATGGCTGCTCAACTGAAAAGTCCTTTTATTGTGTTACACCAAAAAAACCCAAACCACTCCTCCACAAAACACCCCACCCAATACCCTTCCTCCCGCCTCAACAACCACAGCATACAGACGGCCACAGGGACATAGGTTCAAAAACTGTTCTATTTAGAACCTACTTAATGGTTTTCTAAACACTTGATTGAAATAAAATTTTGCGTAATCAAGAACTTCCTATATTTAAAATCAATTCTATATTTAAAATAAAGCATATGAGGCATTGCAGGCTGCAGTTAGAACCAACACCCCTCCAACAATATAATAGTAGTTCATATAGATTACAAAAATCTTGAGGTTTTTTTACTTTGTGGGTCTGTTTGCTTCATAAATCCTAATTTTACTGCTTGGCAAGTTGAGCAGCAGTGGATTTTTGGAATGCATCGTGGGCATATTGAGTTTTAAACTATGAAATGTACTCACAGACAAGCAGTAGGCAAACACAGGCTTCTGAACCTGAGAAAGAGCAGGGCCCAAGCGGCAGCCTGTGACATGCTCCAGCACCATCTGAGTTTACACTAGTGTAAACAAAACCAGAATTGGGTTTGGAGTCTTTTATACAAGAACCACAGAGTTTGCACTTGGAGAGGTGAGATAATTGTGTACGCTCTCACATTTGCTTCCCCACGGCCCATGGGGAACTCCACTGTTTCTCTCTCACAGGACAATTTCTGTAGCTCTGATGCCTACCACAGACAAAGAACACGTATTAAAATCCAGTACCCAGTGTTATTAAATCCAATAGAAGTCTAGACTAAATCCTAAGTTTAGATCCTAGGTCCAGCCCTCAGCTCTGGCTTAGAAGTACCTATAACAGTGTGGTACAGGAAGGACAAGATCATCAAAGGGGCAGTGAAGCAATTTTGATAGCACACTAAGGTCCAGCAGGTAGGACCACTGCCAAAGATTTCCCTATCCTCCCCTGGCAGGACAAGACGGTTCATAAACAATTACAGCAACTGGCTTGTGTCCCCAGGTCATCAACTCAGCAGGTTAAAGTCTGTCAGCAGAACAGTGCTGCATAGGGCAGGACACTAAACCTCCATGCATAGAAGTGGCTAAAATTAGATGCCTTGTCCAATTATTGAGGTATCTAATACCAAGGCTATTTTCACATGGAAGGATCCAGCAGCCCCTCTATAAAACAACTCCCCCACCTCAACAGTCCTTGTTGCTTTGGCTCTTCTGTTGCAGCAGGAAGACAGAAGTCTACTTCTTTCACAAAGTGGAGATGTTAGAAAGAAACTAGTGTTTCCTGATGCCAAAAAGCAGAAGATCTCAAAAACAGTAGAAGAGCTCTCTACATTTAAGCTCTGAAAAGCTGAATATTCTCCAGCTTTCTGTATCAGCTCCTCAATCAGCCCAACAGAAATAACAGAAATTACTTTCTCCAGCTCAACAGTGGAAACACTTGCTATATTTTTGGACAAGTCCTAAGTTTACCTATTGTAAAGAGGAGCAGTTTATCAAAAAGCCCCTACCCAAACCCCACAAGACCACAGAATTTTATCAAGAAAAAGAAAACTGGGAAGTATCATATTTCTCCTACAAAAGTAAATTACAACCACATCTAGCACCTCCACCCTGAACCAGACTCCCAAAGGGATTTCATCATAATCAACAGAAGAAAGTGAGCTGCAACAGCAAAGTGCCACACAAAAAAAGCTGATACCTGAACTCCATTAATATATTTTAGTGCCAACAGTAATCCTGGAAACACCTACATCCCTCCACTAAAGAGGAAATCAAGCAGGGCGGGAGGAAGGCTATCTGCAAAATAAGTATCCAGTTGGACAGACTGCCCCAGCCCCATGACACCAGACAGCATGCTGTCAGCAACAGGGTCAGGCAAACCAAGCTCAGTTTCCCCGGCTGGACACTGGGCTACTACATTTGAACCTGCTGTACATTGATGCTGTAAGACTCCTGTGAGCTGAGGATGCCACAGAACCCTCTTTCCTCAGCCCTCTGCCACGTTGTCAGAACAGTCTGGCTGCTGTTCCCTTCATGGAAATTAGATTTCTATAGCTCAGCTATGCCAAGTCCCCAGCACTAAGTTTGTTAATCCTCCCCAACTCAATGATTTGTTGTTGGCTTTTTTCTTTTACTATTTTAGCACCAGAACAGGTTCTCATTCCTTATAACTAGATAAAGGATAAAACATCTGCATCAATGTTTTCCAAGCAAATATAAGCAAGCTCCTGACTTAAAGATGCCAGAAAAATGGATTAAAAAACATAACATGCAACAATGTTCCCAATAGTTTCTTCTAACATACCAAATGGTCAGTCCTACTGCTTTATGCTGCCTTATAGACACCCCTGGGCACAGTTTGCTAAAAGACAGCAGTCAAGAGACACTGCTGAAACAGACACATGACATGTCTTCCAACTGCCTTGAAAACAATGCAGAGAGAAACAAATAAGAAGCCTTGAAGCAAATACAATTTTTTTAAATTATAAAACCTGATCAGATGTGAATCAAGGGGACCTCACTAACACCACTGCCATTTGGACACACTATGCTACAGTTTCTACAAGAAAGGCTCAATATTAAACTTTTCTTGCAGAACTTCTGGTCCCACCCACCATCAGTAAAAGGTTAATGGAGGGAAACGCTTCTTGTGAAAGCACTGGCAGGGTGTGGTAACTGTCAGGCATCTGCAGATGAGACACAGTCATAACACCAAGGGCTGCACTGATGCATTTGGAAAGACTGGGCAACATAACGTGTATTGACAGAGGTTATGAATTCTCACTTGTATTCCCTTGTAAGCCATTCTCATCTGTTCTTTTACTGTTTAGTAGGTGGCTGCTCACAGAGGTCAATACTAGCTCAGACAACTGCTGGGAAAGTACCGGGAATGTGCAGTCACCTGTTGGCTAATTTAAGGACAGGCTCATGGCCAGCTATGCAGGCAGAGCTTTGGTGACCTTAGAACAGCCCTGACTCCCTTTGACCCGTCCATTTCTCCATGTCCAAGTGATGCATCGCCCGTGTTTTCCAGCCATCATCCACAACAACACTATGCTGTAGCTGTGACTGTCCTCTCCACCTCCCAAATGCACGTTGGTTGCCAAACTCAACCTGGACGGTCATGAGAGGAAAGTGCTCCCCATGAAGTCCTTGGTGCCTGTGGTCTCCTGGCCACAGACAGAAGAAAGTTTCTAGATTACTTTTATTAATTACCTCACAGCTCCTCAGATGAACTAATGAGCTACTTAATGAGTACGAGCAACCACCTGTTGCCACGAGCACATGAGAGCAATTGTTCCTTACACAGCTGTAACATGCGTGAGCTTGCTTGCTACCTCTGCCACCACTTTGAGAGAGAAAACTGATCTGAGCCATAGAAGTCAGCTTGGAGTGACTGCCCACACTTCTATGCAACAACACACATTGACACATACAGAGAAGAATTAATTATTAATAACAATGCTGACCTAAGAGGAGTCAGCAATGATGCAACAAAAGTAGTTTTGACATTTAACCAACCAGTTTGGAGACTCAAAAGCTTACAATCAGGGCAGAGCTGGAACTAAACGAGTGTATAGAAATTCCTCCCTCTAAAGAAGAACCCATAAACCTTACTTAAAAACAACTATTACTACCATAGACTTGCAATGCCATGATCAAATAAACCACTTCAAAAACTGTTTTCTGGTGACATACAAAAACCATGCTGTAGCCTGCATTCATTAATTCTTACAACAGCGTTATGATGCTAAAAGTAGGACATAGGACAATCAAATGCTATTTCTATTTCTGCTACAGCCTGTGGGCAAAACCTTGGCCATGCAAAATAGCCAACAAAAGTTTGTTTCCCTTGTACTGTACTATTTACACACAGGTTTGCATTTTCTGTTTCTAGTCTATCCCTAAAAGTGTGACATTCTTGCAAAAATTAAACAAGTGTGAGGCTTTACCATCACTGCATCACCATAAGCATCCTCTGCTCTACAGTGTGTGTTTGCTATAATGGCTGTATGGATTTGAAAATTGGCATTAGCTCAGCATACGATCTCTGCATAGCCCAGCATGATGAACAGAGTCTTCAGACTCACCATGTGCCACTGATGTCTCCCACTCCCTGCAGCAACCTGCACAAACCAGGCATCCAGTAAAAGACAGCCAACTGAGAACATGGAACAAAAAATACCACGATTATGTCTTGGCTTTTGTGGTACTCAAGTCAGACATTAAGCACCTTTCTGTTTCTCATATAGTGATCCTGTGGGTAGTGAGGCTACAATCTAGCAAAAAAAAGATCACCCCTATCATACCACATATTTTAGATCTGTAGGCTTAAAAAAAAAGGGAAGAAAACAGAAACCCAAGAAATTCATTCCCCGTTTTGTTTCTTTAGCATATGCTTCATGCATTGCTCACACAGTCTTGCCTCTGGAATTAGCCATTAGTAAGTTCATATCAAATTTTTTAAATGATTCTTGCTGAACAGTCCCACAACTGCTGCTTGGCTGAGAACAGTCTATGTATTGATTCCATAGCAGAAGGATGCAGAATTGAATGTGTAGACTGAACGTGTCTTTCACCTTTGCATGACTGATACTGCAGCATGCTGCCTGTCCTTGCCTATTTTTCAGTATTGGTAGTAGTTGAATCACTATGAGAAAAGCAAATCAGACATGACCACAAGACTTTTGAAAGATCATTTCCTAAACTTCAGTCCCACCCTTCCATGAACCTTTGCTATCATCATTTCAGTTAGGACTCTGAAGTCCACTTAACAACATATACACAATGCACTGAATTTTTTCTACCGGCTAGCCCTTAAAATGGCTGTCAATCACAAAGCCAACTATTTCTGTCATGCTCCTCCAAGTGGTCCATCAAGACCTCAAAAATGCTATACAAAGGTAACATACATATTTAATAGGACAGAATTATTAAAAACTCAAAACATCATTAAAAATTATTCAAAAAATAACACCCCCCCCAACAATTAAAAACTGTGGTTAAATAATAAATCAGACCACCAAAGATGCCTTTTCACTTGAGCAACGTTTAACAGAGAAAAGCAGAAGAAAATACCATTTAATACTGATTATGAGTTAATTAATTCTTAGTCTTTTTTTAAGGTAACATACTGGAACAACACAACTGAGACTATTGTGTGTAAATCTGCAAAACATCTGTTTGCCGTACGGTGCCTGTACTAGACACGGTGCTTTAGTGCGGCTGCTCCTTTCACAAGGTCCTTCAAACTCAAAGATGTGGTGCCATTCTAATGAACTGCAATTGGCTTGGAAGGTGGGGAAAGACTAAGTTCCTGAATTAGGAGTTTTCCTTTGTACTATAATTACAGCTAAAAGCAGTCGTGTCACTCGTGCACCAAAACACGGAAGTTAACGCTGCAGAACTACAGACGTGTTCATTCCAGAGCAGCGTTCCCTCACACAGCCGTCTCCTCTGGGGTCGGGTCCTGCCCGCGGGACTTTCTGCCAGTGCTCAGAAGACGAAGAGTCCCAAGAATTCCACCAGCTCCCTCTAGTGATAATTAGGCTGCGACTAAACAGGTTCTGCTGTGCTCGCTCGTGCGTCGCTGCCTCCTATGACCTCTGGCTCTCAAATCTTCCACAGCAGCTCCCGAAATACCATTTCCAGGTGACAGGCACCTGCCTACGGCAGAAGACGACAACGCTCAGTAACAGCCCCTGGTGGCACGGCAGCAAAGGCACAAGGCACTCTGCAGCAACAGCAACTGAACTAAGGCATCGTGCCCTCCAAGTCAAATCTGAAGGCTTTGGCAGAGCCGGATTTGGTTCGTGTACTGGTTCCAAAAGAGAGCTCTTCCAATAAGAGACTTATAAATGGTAAGGTAAAAAGGGAAGTAAACCAGCTTTCTTTTTTAACAGATCTTCACAGCAGACAAGTCGTCCCGCTCTTGACTCACCATAAGCACAAAGTCAGAGGAAACAAAAGAAAAATACTGGAAGTTTCCACTAAAGGTGAGGACAAAAAAACCAACAACCTGACAAACCAAAACACCACAGCCCTTCCCTAGTGTCTGTGCTGAGTCACAGGGTAGTTTCCTCCCAAAAGGCAGGCACTGTCTGAGGAAACTGCAGCCACGTCAACAGTGGCACTTGCCTGTCAGGCCAAACACCTTGGGGTTTTCTGTGTTAACTCTCCATTAACTCCCAGGATTTCCATCAATTACACTCTGCCCTAAAATGGAGACATAGGCCTTACTAAAGGAGCACTACTTAGGGGCATACAAAGGGCTCAGGGAAAATTAAGATGTGGAACCATTACAATTACAAAGCCATTACAGCATTTTTCATAAGCAGACTTTGTAAGTGGGTTGCTGATTAATCCAGCCTATGATTAACCTGCAATGAATATAAAAAGATTATCACAACAGAAATGAGTTTCCACCCAATTTTCATTACAATTTATTATTATTAATTACTAAACTGTTCTTAACTCATGAGTTTTCTCACTCTTACCTTACGACTGTCTCCTCCATCCCATCAAGGGGGAAGTGAGCAAGTGGCTGCGTGGGGCTGAGCTGTCAGCTGGGGTTAAACCATGACAAGCTTCTAAACAGTATGTTGCTAAGTAACATACACAACAAGATTCTATTAAAGTTTATCATTAGTAACTTGGTCTTGATAATTCTGGGATTCTGAATGAATAAATGTTGCCAAGGCAGAATTTGGATTTTGTTTTTAATTAGTTAAGATTATAAAACAGTAATCCAAGAAACATAAGACATTTCTACTTTTCTGTCAAAATAAAGTGAAGATCTAGAGCTTACAAGCTCATTTTGTGAAGAACTCAAAGGTCTTCCTTAACATGGTAAATTATGTTTCCAAAGAGCAAAAAGAAAAGTAATCACCATTGGTTACAGACAAGAGTTCTATACGTAGGGATTACAGGGTACACAGATGTCAGGGCTATGTAACCTTGCACTGCTAATGGAGTCACTTTATCTTAGTGATAAGGGTGTCACAGTAGGTTAGAAGTCATGGGAGACACTTCTGTCTTTCTTTGCCCTAAAGAAAAAAGGCTCGACTATGACCAGACATCCCAAGAATACTTCACCAACGCTGCATTTGCATAGTTGTGCACGGACACAAGGCTGACCTGCTGAGGCTGGTGAAGATGTGCAACACCCTCACCTCCTGGACCAGGTCAACACACGTCTGTCAGCCTACCCTGTCCTGGAATCTCACATGTGCTCTGCAGAACGAGAAAACAGGCAGAAGAGGCTGGAACTCCACTGCTGTTCTCCTGTTGCACAAAGAAGGCTTTGTGTGAAACAAAAATGATTTCCTTTAGTGAGGTAGAGCTTAACAAGAACAGAAAATATGTATTTTTTAAAATCTGAAAATTAACTATCTTGTCCTGTAGGAGTAGTACAGCTTGGACTCTCTGATCCTCTTCTTTAAGAGTCTTCACGCATACTAGAACATGTTTATTGAAAATACTTCCTCGCTTGCAGTGTAAGTCCTCAGCCATCTGGAACCAGTCCTGTTCCAAAGCCCATGCACTTGCACTTGAGTAGAGAGCAGGCACTACCTTGAGGATCCACCACAGTAAATGATCTCAGTTCTAATGGGAAGACATTTTCAGAACCAGATTTCCTACTGCTCTGAAATGCAGAAAATAAAGCTTAGCACCCATAAAAATTCTTTCTCAATTAAAAATAAACCACTATATACCTACAAGATATAACTCACTCCATCTTTTGAACTGTCCTATTGGAACCAGAGGGTATATTCATATAGGCAAGTGACAAAAATAGGATCCTAATCCATACTCAGTTTAGTAAAGCAAAAGGCTGTATTAGGCTAGACGCCTCACACTAGTACAAAACAGGAGGAAATTTAAGGAGCGTAACTCTAAATTTGTAGTATAAACCATGAGGAAGTGGCCTCAAATTGTGCCAAGGAGGTTTAGATGAGATATTAGGAAAAATTTCTTCATCAGAAGGTTTGTCAAGCCCTGGCACAGGCTGCCTGCGGCAGTGGTGGGGTCACCATCCATGAAGGGATTTAAAAGCAGTGTGGATCTGGCACTTGGAGACATGGGTTAGTCATGGCCTTGGCAGTGCTGGGGAAATGGTTGGACTCGATGGTCTGCGGGCTTTTCCAACCTAAATGATTCCATGATTCTGTGATAATCTGATACAACTGAGACACACCAAGCTTTAGATGGACACTTTGAAATTATAGATGTTAGCCTATGAAAGACAAAGTACTGGATGGAGCCAAAGTCCTCTTACAGTCATGTAATGCCTATATCCATAAGACATTTCAACTTTATAACTAGTAATTGGTTAAGTTCAAACACAATTCTGCCAATAAATTAAAGTAAACACATCTATCTAAAGTACACAAAACCAGACTAACACAGCCTGGTACTTACACACATGGGAATTTCTACCTCTGCACTGTGCTTATGGATTTTCTTATGTTCCTTCAGTAAGGCTGTCACTGTACAAAACATTAAGATGACTTTTAGCTCCAAGATCTTATTAAGCATGGACCTTACTGTATTGAAACCTGACTGCAAACCCCATCAGCCTCCAATATTTCATTCCTGCCCTTCAAACACACTAATGAAACAAAACCATTAAATAGACAGACCAGTGCTGACAGCCAGCTGGTTGGGAAGCAGAGCCACATGGAGGGGATTTGGAGAGCTTCAACTGTAGGGTCCACCTTCCACACTTTGCTCCACACACACTGGTACAGTTCCTGTGATGCTGAGCCCTCAGCTTGGGGCAGAAATTCTGGGCCTGAACATCTGCCCCAGAAAGCAGAGGAGCTCTTGGCAGAGTTGCAGTCATCTTTGGTTGAAGGCAGGTCCACTCCTCTCCCCTCTGCCCCAGGGAGAGACGGCAGGTGGGATGCTCTTGGTACTGCAGGTGCTGCCCTGACAGAGATCAGTTCTGAGCAAAGCAGCTGCCAAGAGGCACCTACAGACACAGAGGTGTGATAACTCCAGGCTGTGCCAGAGCATCCCTATGCTTCTCTGATCATGCTGACTGAGAGCTGAGGTTTAAGCCATATTTTTCTCATTTTCTACTGGTCTCTGACTATCCGAGCAAAATTTTTAGTGTTACTGTAAGGCAAGAGGAAAATATCATGTAGCCATCATGCAGTCATTTTTTAATTGAATACTTTCAAGCCTTTTGCTTAAAATTAGGTTAAGACATTGGTGCACCTCTTCCATTTCTATACCTTTCAGTTGATTTAAAATATGCAGACTAGTTGTTTCTAATAGGTCTTTACTGCTTTACTACTTTATCAATTGTTATATGCTTTTTCCAACTATTTTTTTTTTTAAGTAGCACATGGATATACTTGGACTAATATTATAAAACCCCTAGAGCTAGTGTTATAGAAACAAACAATCTTTGAGCCAAATTATTTTACAGAGACTTAAAATCTCCAGTGACAGAATTCCTCCTGATACTACAGAGCATGCAAGGGAAGAGAAAATACTTTTAAAAGTTAATCAGCTGAGAACACTCCTTAGCATCTGATCTGGGCAGGCTGGTTTCCTAGGTGCCCAACCTTTGTCAGGTCAGCACAGACTGAGATTGTATCAGTGCAGCTGAGTTCCACAGCTCAGCCAGCACATGCAGAGTCAGCTTTCCATATCTGAAAGCAGCAGCAGCAAAGGTACAATTGCATTACATTTACCACACTTTTTAATGTGTCCTGTGTTACTGCATAGTAAAGAGCACTGTGTATCCACACATTATCACATAAGTATTAATTTCATCATTTTGTTCACAGCATTGCGCAGTGGTTAGCAATGAGAAATTCTGAAATGGTATAAAGCTGTTTATAAAAATCAGTTAAATCATACGGTAGATTTTCTTTGAAGTTTATACTGTAGTTTGCAAAACATAATATTTTCAACATGAAAATGAAAACGGCTTCATACTAAGAACCTCTCTCCAATTAAATCACACTTTGATTAGTAGTAGAAAACTATTCATTGTACAGTTTACTTGAAGCCTTGCCTTTGACAAGGCATCAAGGAAGACTTCTCCTGAACTGCAAATGGCTGGAAATTTTTATGGATTCATTTTTCTGTGTCTGAGTCAGACTTTCAGAGTTGGTCAGACTTGAAAAACAAACACATGCTTCTGAAACCTCTTACTAGATATAAAAGCCATACCTTTAACATTAGAACTCTCCAAAATGTTTAGGATCAAAGCTGTGATTCTTTCTCCACTTGCAGGCATCTCACAAACATTCACACATTACAGGGAGGTAAAAAAGCTTTTTCTCCCTCCTTTAAACAACAAAAAGCATTATTAAAAATTTGTATTAAAACCATCAAAGAGTGAAGATATTTCTTCATAACACAAACTCCCAACAGTCTTTCCCCGGGTCTCTAACTCAGCTTTTTAGAATAAGATATAAGCATTATAAATTAGCACAGTGTTTTCCAGCAGGAAGCCCATCTGCTGCCCAATCCAATGTAAGAAAGTGCTAATAGTGTCATTATTGCTACATAGGGGGAAGTCTTGCTCCTTCACACAGAAAAGATTACAACTGCAGATAAGTTACAGAAGGGCATTTTTCATAACGCAGTTGAAGGTTACTTAACATGTAACAGTCAAAATGGCTTGTGAGAAACATGTAAAAAGTATGAAAAGCCTGGTTTTTGCCTTCAGCACAGGATCTATAAGCTACCTGTCAAAGAAAAAAGCCTGGAGTGCCAGTCTTGCTTGCTCGTAAGAGGACATCAGTAGAAGCAAGGGACCCTGTAAATCCTGCCAAATATACTTGTATCTGAACCTCTGTTTTGTGGGACAACTGCTACCCTAGTCCTGAGCGCCAGACACAGCTCCTTGGGCCCCTGCTACTGTTCTGCTGCAGCCAGGGGCCTCTCAAAACCTTTTGCTATTCAAGGTTGCACATAAGAAGGCAGCATGATGAGCATGACCTGTCCACTGATAAGGGGTTTGACACGGAATAAGAAATTTGGTTTAATGTGTTGTCAGGTCAACGAAGGCCTGCGACTTTCCTCATGTTGGGGAGGCATTTTAATAATCTGTTGTTAAGAACTGGGCATGTCAACTCTTTCCACATCTGTGTCCCAAAAGCAGTGATGATTGCTCCACTTTTGAAACGTGCCTCTGTACATTGATTTGCCACAATCTCCAAAACTCTCCTCTTTCCTTTGACAGGATCAAGGCATGGCCCACTCCTCCTCCTGGCCAACATCGTACTCAAGAAGCCAGCTAAATCCATCCCACTAGAATTCTCAGAGGAATTCCCTCTCCCTGCCTCGAGGTAGCCACCAGCTCTAGCACAGGCATCCCAGCAGCTGCTGGAAGTCAGTGCCAGTTCCAAGGTGCCTTTGCAGGTCTCACCACAGACCATGTCAGATCAAGCACTTCCCATTCGTCTTCCAGCATACATCATCCTGACACCAAGCTAACCGAAATTATCTTGCTAAGTCTACAAGAATTTAGTGAAGCTCTGTGTTTGCTCCCAGAGCTGCTATGTATCTGGATGTTTTGGTTCTAGTATTGCTCAGCACAGGAATTTTCCTGCTTTGAAAATAGTAAATTCAGTTGCCCAACAGGTAGCCCATTACACCCAAGAGTTGTTCAACTTGGACACAACTCCCATGGATGTAATGAAAAAGTTTCCTTGAGTAAAGGCTTTCCTTGAGTACAGTTTTCCTTGAGTAAAGGCTTTCCTTGAGTACAGGCACGGGTGTGCATGTAGCCAAGTATTTCAAAAAAGTCTGTGTAAGCCATGCTGTGGACTTCTGCTTCTTTCTAAAAATATTTCTTAGTAAGCAATGGGTGTGCCACTCAATGAATGACTAATAACTTTTTCCTGCGAGCCCTGGAACAGACGGAATGCTTGTCCTTGTGTTACAGGATACAGTGTCTAAGAGGCAGGTGTGCAGAGTATGCTGACCTGCCTGCTAAGACAATTCAAGCAATAGCCTCTAATAAAATCCTTCCCTTTTCCTATACTTCTTGCAGCCCTACTATCATTATACAGCTTCGCTATAAAACAGAACTATTCAAGATTTCAGAAGTATGAGGAATATTAGAAAGTTTAACTAGGCAAAACTCAAATATCCAATCAGCAAGAAATTAAAAATGCAATTTTGCTTTTCCAAGCATAATACTTACAAGGCATACCTATATAGAATCATAGAATCAGCCGGGTTGGAAAGGACTTCTGAGATCATCAAGTCCAACCCTTGATCCACTACCGCCCTAGTTACCAGTGCCACATCCAGTCTCATATCCATAGATATGATCATATCTACACCTTTGAACTACAAGTATTCCAACTGAAAAATAAATTGGGATCAAACTCTGTGTGTATCATATGCCCTAGAATATTATGTAGAACTAAAAGTATTACTGTATTTTTTGTGAGTTTTTTCTCATTATTGTTACTACATTGTAACGACTGTTTTGCATGTAGCAGAAATGCATATTGTCAGGGATGATTGGAACAGCCAAAAAAACCAGAGATCACTTCTTTAAAAGTCTTAACACTCTCATATTTGTTACTTTTTAAAGACTAGCAGAACTGGTGAAAACACCTGTCTCCACTTCATTATGGATATCACCAAAATGCACCACCACTAAGGAAGCATCGTTTCTGTGGTCTGCCAGCAGTATTAAGATGATCTCTTGTTTTGAAGTGGGAAATAACCACTGA